AGACAGCTTTCTCGACCGGTAAAGGTTTATGGCAATTTAACGTCATGCCCTTCGGATTGTGCAACGCACCTGCCACGTTTGAGCGACTCATGGAGTGTGTACTGGCAGGCTTAGTTGGCGAGGCTTGCTTAGTCTACTTAGATGACATCATCATTGTTGGCCGTGACTTCGAGGACCATTTGCGAAACTTGGAGCGAGTTTTTGCCAAAATAGAGGGAGCCAAATTAAAGTTGAACCCGAAAAAGTGTCGTTTATTCAGGAGCAAGGTCAACTATCTTGGCCATGTTAACTCCAGTGATGGAATCCAGACAGACCCGGAGAAACTGGAAGCAGTTCAAAAATGGCCTACCCCTAAGGACAAAACCGAAGTGCGGGCATTCCTCGGCCTATGCTCATACTACAGGCGTTTTGTAAAGGGATTCTCAGAGATAGCCAAGCCATTACACCGGCTGACAGAAGATAAACGACAATTTAGTTGGGACGGGACTTGTGAAGATTCTTTTCAGAAACTGAAGAAACATCTGTGTGAAACACCAATCCTGGGGTATCCACAATCTGAAGGTGAGTTTATAGTTGACACGGATGCAAGCAACACGGCCATTGGAGGGGTGCTATCTCAAAAACAGGGTGAAAGAGAAGTTGTTATTGCATATTTCAGCAAATCTTTATCCAAGCCAGAGAGAAACTACTGTGTGACAAGAAGAGAACTCTTGGCTGTTGTAAAGACACTACAACATTTCAACAAATATCTCATCGGCAGACAGTTTTTACTGCGAACTGATCACGCAGCCTTGAAGTGGCTACTGCAATTCAAGAACCCAGAAGGTCAAGTAGCTCGATGGATTGAACAGCTCCAGGAGTATGACTTCAAGACTGAACACCGCAGTGGAAAGACGCATGGGAATGCTGACGCGCTCTCACGAAGGCCGTGTTCGGAAGACTGCAAACATTGCGTCAAACAGGAATCTAATGAAGTAACATTAAAGCTAACGAGAACAAGTCCTTTGGGTCTCTGGGAGAATGATGCTATGAGGGAGGCTCAAGAAAGAGATGACGACCTTCGGCACATCATCACATGGAAGAAACGGGGTGACGTAAAACCAATCTGGAGTGAGGTTGCTCCCACTGGCGCCGTCACAAAGGCGTACTGGGCGCAATGGGACAGTCTGATACTTCAAAACGGAATACTCTACCGGAAATGGGAGAAGACTAACGGCAGAGAGTTCCATCTTCAGATAATTGTCCCGAGAACGAGAGTACCAGATGTTCTCCGTGAAATACATGACGGCGTATCAGGAGGTCATCTAGGTGTCAAGAGGACGTTAACAAAAGTGCGAGAACGATTCTACTGGTTGCACTGTCGAGATGATGTACGGGATTGGTGCCGCAAATGTACTACTTGCGCTGCTGTAAAAGGACCACAGACCAGAAGTCGTGGGAACCTGCGGTTGTATAACGTCGGTGCACCGTGGGAACGAATTGCAGTTGACGTAGATGGGCCATTTCCTGTAACGGAATCGGGAAACAAGGATTTTATGGTCGTCATGGACTACTTCACCAAATGGCCCGAAGTGTTCGCCATACCAAACCAAGAAGCTACAACAGTCGCTTCTAAGTTAGTCGAAGAAGTGATATGTCGCTTTGGTGTGCCTCTAGAAATCCATCCCGATCAGGGCAGGAACTTCGAATCGCAAGTATTCCAAGAAGTGTGTAGAATTTTGGGCATGCATAAGACGAGGACCACCGCGTGCCACCCACAGTCTGATGGAATGGTTGAGAGATTTAACCAGACCCTTGAGTGGCATCTGGCGAAATTTGGTAGACGACAAACAAAAGGATTGGGACAAGTATATACCACTCTTCCTTCTGTCGTACCGAACCGCCGAGCATGAGAGCATAAAAGCTACCCCGGCGTATGTCAATTTCGGTAGAGAACTACGATTACTAGTAGACCTATTGACAGGAGGGTCACCGGAGGGACCAGAGACAGTTCAAGACTATGTCTGCAATTTAAGGGAAAAAATGCGCTATATACACGCCTTGGTTCGGGAAAATGGGTTACAGTCAAGTGAGAACATGAAAACCAGATACGACCGGAAATCGAACACGAACGGCTTCGAGGAAGGGTCACTGGCGTGGCTACATAACCCAACTCGCCGGAAAGGGAAATCTCCAAAGTTGCAGACCAAGTGGGACGGTCCATACAAAGTGGTTACCCGACTGAATGATGTGACTTATAGGATTCAAAAGCAACCGAGAGGGACATTCAAAGTGGTACACATAGACCGTCTGGCGCGTTACCATCGCAGTAACAATGATGCTCTCTAAGAGGGGAGTAGTGTTATGAACACACAAAGGAACTAACGTCATCTAGCGTCAACTATTAAAACCAATAAAGAACAAAGACGACATAAAACCCCCTATTCAACACAAGATGGCGTTAGAGGAACTGCTGTGGAACTATAGTCTCGAAAACCGGGTACATTCGCGAACTTTCCGGAATCACGAACATGTTCGCGCGTGTCGGGTTCGTTCCAGGAAGGATCTTTCTGGACTAGTCCGGAACCGGTCTCGGCCCATATAAAAAGCCGCAGGGAGGCGAGCGATCACAGTTCAGTTTGAGCTACCTTCGAGGCGACTTCGGAGCGAAAACTAGTGATCAAGAGCGATACCAGTGAAACCTACGACTTGGCTACAAAATAGGACATCGTTAGTGCTTAGTGATTGGACCTAGTGCTTTGTGTTGGACCTAGCGCTAGTGAATAAAGTCTTCAAAAGAGTCAGCAGGTCTTTCTCTCCAAATCCTTCGAACCCTAACACGTAACAATATCATTAACATTTAGATTCTGTTATTGACCATGTCATAAATTAATCATAATATTAAGTTTTCATTTAAAATTTTCAGTTTAGGTTGTGACTCGCGTTGTTCTTGTTGCAATTATGTTATCCGATTGATCATTTTAGGCAAATTATTTCAATTAAATTACAAGTGAAGTTATGATGGTGTAGATTTCTCTTTGGATCATCGATTATCTGTCTGAAATCGCACATTATAATTCATCAAATCAGTTTAATTGGTGCTTTCTCTCAGCGTTCATTCTGCAATTATTCGTAAGGTCGATGTTTTCTTTTCTTTTATATCGTATCTGGATATATTGTGTTATTTTTCCTTTATCATGTCAACTGATTTGTGTAATGACGCTAAGTTCTAAGTGTATCACCTAAGGTGTGTTTTGTCACTTACATTATGGTGTAAGAGGTAGGAACGTCGGAAAAAACAAGAATTTCAGGTAGGACAGTTTTAAGATATGCTTTCTTACTTTTCCGGATGTTATACGGACTATCTGGTAGAGGTTGCGTTCATCAGTGTGCATCGTCGTACAGGTAAAATATCATTTTTCAAATAATTTTGAAGTTTCTTTTTTTTTTAAATTATTTTAATTGAACTTTTTACAACATGAATATAATAGCCAGAAATTTTTATCGTTGTTTAAAATGTGCCGAACGCAAATTTCGAATTAAAGAAAAATTTCTTTTCAAAATATTTTAGTATGGCTGAAATTTTAAATAGGTATCTAAAAACCGAAAATTAATTTGCCAATCAATAATTTAATTTTTAACCTTCAGCCAGACCGTTCCAAAAGTGAAAAGTGATTCGGCATGTTGGAAGAGCACAATGTACGATGCGCACTGATGAACGCAACTTCTACCACCGGCCAGATAGCCCGTATGACGTCCGGGAGAGTGAGAGAGATAGCATATCTAAAAACTGGCCTACCTGAAATTCTCTCTAGAAAACGATGCCTAGCTCTTAGGGTATTATAATATCACATCATATTAGTTTTAGGTCGTGGTAAAGCCGTGTTTTTTACTAACATGTCGCATAGCTTTTAATTATTTCTATTGTATTTGCCTATTCATATTGTAAATGCACTAAATCTAACTTAATATTGTACAGTTATGATTTTTTAAATATTTTTTTAAACTTGCCAGTGATCGACTACTACTCATCTGATGGTAATAAGTGAAGTAGTCTTAGCACTAGATTAGTATTTATGATTGTTAGTACAATTTCCGTCGTACCTATAGTATCAATAATGTAGAATGGTGTATCGTTGTTCACTGCGTAATATCGTTGTTGATTGGCGTGTGCGCAACGCGATTACTTATATTGCATCGATCTTGTTGTTTTGTATAAGCCAGGTTGTTTATGTTGTATCTAGGGCTGCCACCTTTCAATAACAGCTGACCAAGATTTTTTTTTTAAATCGGTCTTTCTATAAAATAAATTATATATGGCACGTCTATTGTCTTCTATCGTGTAAGACGATCGGACATCGCTCAGCTATCACACATGGCGATCGATGTTACACCCGTAGCCCGGACGTGCATAATTCAAATGGAGTCGGGATCGAATTCTGAGGGGTGGCAGCCCTAGTCGTATCGGTCGTATCCATCATGTAAGACGATCGAACATCGCACTGCTAACATCACATGATATCGATGAGATATCAGACACGTATCCCACACCCGTACAGTCCGGGTCGAACGTGAAGGCGTGGCAGCCCTTGTCGTGTCGGTCACGTCGGCTAGTCGGTTATACACGCAGTCCGGACGTGCATGATTCAAACCCGTATAGTACCTGTAGAATGCGGAGGCGTGGCAGCTCTAGTCATTGTCGGCTAGTCGGTTATACATGCAGTCCAGACGTGCATCAATCCAACCTGTAGAGTCCGAGTGTAACGCGCAGGTGTGGCAGCCCTAGTCGTGTCGATATTGTCGGCTTGTCGTTTATACACGCAGCCCAAACGTGCATCATCAAATGGCAGCCCTATTCGTGTCGGTGTTGTCGGCTTTACACACAGTCCAGAAGTACGTCATTCAAACCCGTAGAGTACGTGTCGAACGCGGAGGCGCGGCAGCCCTAGTCGTGTCGGTCGTGTCGGTATCTGTGTTGTCGGGATATCGCGACGCTGTCGGCGTTTCGTCGGCGCACTCACCGTGCTGGTGGTGCGACTGCGCCTGCTGTGTGTTGGTAGACTCGTCCGCGGTGCGCTTGAAGAAGTTGTGCTGCAGCGCGTAGTAGGGCGTCACCCGCTGCTTGGGGTCGTACTCGAGCATGCGGAGGATGAGGTCCTGGAAATTGACGTTACGACATCTTATCTTTCGCATCGCGCATTTGATTGTCAAACAGATGCGCAATTCAGTGATGTTTTAATAAAGATGACGCATGTCCATACCGGGCGGCGTTTAAAAATCGTTCCGCTTTATATTACATGACATTATAAGTGAATGTAACAGATGATATATAACGTATGACAGGAAAACGATAAGCGTATACAATATTTTAAAACGACCGCCCTTTGCGATAGATGGCACTGTATTATATGTATATAAGCCTTAAGGGAACAAACATGCCTACGAAGTTAAACGATCAAATGCCTCAACATCTCACTTATCTAGAAACGTTATGATAATAAATCCTGCGAGGCGGGAGATTCAACAAACATGAAAATATCAGAAATGAAGTTCACCCAGACTAGAAACAATAACATCTTTATGAATCACAAAAATATGTCTCCAATGTGGGAATCGAACACACAACACAAGCGCAACCTCTTGTCACCATCACAAATAACAGGAGAATAGAAACAAGTATCGCTGTACGTAATCGGCGTGTGGTATGAAGCGTCTCCTACTGTTGCACGAATGGACAGGTCGGGAAGCCACGATCTAACAAAAAACGGTCGTCAAGTGGAAGTGTTATACTTCTGCGTTTCGCCTGGTGAGTGAGGTAACGTAGGCAAGTTCATTAAAAGGCGGCAAGGCATCTGCAACCCTACAGGTGTTGCCCTTGAGCACCGGGCATCTCTTAATATCAGGTGAACCGCCATCTCGATGGCCACCTGCTCACATAAAAAAAGAACGCTCAAACGCTGCCCACCTTGAACTTGAGGTAGTCGGAGACCGAGTGGCCGGGCTCGCCGCGGCGCCTCGCCGCCGGCCCGCCCCCCTCCACGCCGAGTATGTCGTGCAGCTGCCGCGTCCCCGGCGCCCGGTACTTGCGGTAGCCGCTAAGCGGAACACGGGCGACAGCTTTAGCGGCGCTCGTAAAGAGCAACACCCAAACAAACAGCCACCCAACAAGCGGACCATCGTCCGCTATATCATATAACAAATTCTTGTCATTTTTGACCAAATTGACTCTTATTATTGCCCTCAATCTTGCTTAAGACGGAGATGTGACAACTCTTCCTAGTCTTATATCTTACTTGCCGAAGCCGCTGCATGGAACACTGGCGACAGCTTAAGCGACGCTCGTAAAGAGCGACACCAAGATGCAAACGGACGATGATATGACAAATTCGCGTTGTTTTTGACTAAACAACCTCATAGTTTTGCCCGTTATGTCGCTATACGGCCGGTTTCAATACTCTATATAGGTTTGATGATAGCGATACATAGTTGATGTTAGCCCCATAGTCTGTTTTTGCCCAAACTAATTCATAGTTTTTTTTTTTATTTTTTCATCTTAAACATAAATATTACTACAATTTGATCAAGTAATAGACAGGGAGAGAGAGCTCTAGAGTTTTGCTCCAAACGTTGCTAAAGTTGGACATATATGAAACAGGCTTCCTAGTTTCGGATATATAAAGTTGCCATCGAATATGTTTGACTTCGATCAACTGAATTCAGTATGTTAACAATTATACTGTTATTATATATACTGCTCACCTGCCATCCTTTCCGTTGACTTTTTTCAGGACGTAGCCGCCGCCCTCCGACGCCGGTAATTTGTCGAAGAACTTTCTGGTTTTGTGTGCCTAAAACATCACGAGGTTCGTTTTAGTTTTACATTTAACAACGATCGTCATTAAGCTTATAAACTTAATTATTGATGAAATGATTTATACATAATAAAAATTATTTTATTTTATGCCACGGGTCTAGCATTAAATTTTTACTGTTTGTGTTTGAAGGTGAAACCATCTCTCGTCGATTTAAAGACTAAGAGACTATGTAATGTTTGTGATTCGGTTCAAATTTTGACAGATATTTCAGATGCATACAAAATTATTATATTGTTTCATCTCCTCATTTTTATTATCGACCAGGAGGAAGTATTCCCGAATTATCTATTACATTTAAAAAATAGAGCCAAGCTGAAAAATATGAAAACCAAATAAATTACAACGTTTCCAAACCTGCATATTTTAATGAAACCCTTACAACAATTTTATACATCATCAACATTTCTAATGTGGAATTAAACGAGGAAAAAAACAAGCTGGGTTTTTTAGTTTCTCCGCACAAGGGCAATTCCCCAAAACGCGGAGATAAAAAGTAATTGACATTTAATATTAAATACGTATCGTGTCAAATGAAATTATTGTATTTTTTTATACCGTAACAAGCTACGGCACCACAAGTTGGTACTTTTCCCGCAATGTTTCGATGTTTAATAGTTGTCTATTGCAATTTTCGGGCGATCAATTATGTTGACTCTTTTAGATTTTCTCTGATGGGACCAAAAATCGCCAACTGAAAGGGACTAAGAAACTACTTACGCTTCCAACAACAAAACCTCACAAAAGTGAATTAAGATTTCAACGGGATGAAAAAGGCATTTTTGTCTACCTAAAGTAACAACTGAGTACTTTTCGAAATATAAAAAATCAATTGATAAAATGAATATTATATCTCGATAAAAATATTTTTCTTTTAGGTTTGCCTCAGAATCGTGCTTCGTGTTTTGTATTCGTGTTCAGCAGTCAGGCTGAAATGATGATGGTGTTAAAAAATATTTTAAGGATAAAACATAAATTATTTCAAATAAACTTGCTTCCTTATTTTCACAAAGGAGCATAAGAACGAGCTCATGCGACGTGACGACCAGACGGAAGCATCCACTGTCCGCGATCACGCGCAATCTCACCGTATTTCTCGAGCAATCTCGCCGCGATCTCATAAGATTTCGAGCGATCTCGCCGAAATCTCACCGGATCTCAGGCGATCTCAACGAAATCTCAACGAAATCTCACCAGATCTCGGGCGATCTCACCGCAATCCCACAGGATCTCGAGCGAACTCACCTGATCGAGCAGATGGTCAGGCGGCATGCCGAGCACCTCGACGATCTTGTTCATCTGGTCGAGCTCGTTTGCGCCGCTGAAGAGCGGCTCGCCGGTGTGCATCTCGACCAGTATGCAGCCCAGCGACCACATGTCTATTGCTAGGTCGTATGGGATGCCCAGCAGCACCTCCGGAGACCGGTAGAACCTCGACTGGATGTATTGGTATATCTGCGGGCGAGTTCGAGCGTCGGGTTATTTGTATTTTGTGCGGTAGGGTTGGGTAGTGATATACGAGGATCACTGCGAACCAGAAAGATCTATTGTAGCCTTCCCTTCGAAAATATTACCGTAGGACATCATCCAGCACCAAAATATTATTAGTAAAAAGTCAATCAATATCTTAAACTTAAATTGTCTAGTCGAACCATAAAATATGTTCATTTAAAGTTGATACAATGACGACCAGATTGGCATAGTAGTGGATAGTGACCCAGTAGTGTTTTTCCAGTGTCTGAATGTTTATATATCTATATCTATTTATTTAGAAAAAAATGAATTTTTATCAGTTACCTCGTACCTACCTACCGTCATGGCTACCATTAGCTAATCATATAGGATTTATATTAAATTTCAATTATTAATTATTTTATACAATCGTAGGCATTAAACTGAAAATTTTAAGTTAAATTGCCTACGATCCGAAAAAAAAGTTTCACTTGCGTTTCATAAAACCACAATGTTTTTTTTATCTATACTTTGCTTCATTCTTATGAAATAACCTTAGGTAATTACGCAACGATAATATCATAACAGGAGATGAGTTCCATTGTACAAAAGATTTTACATTATCACGAGGATATCATGCGCCACCTGACGCGTCGTCTAACAATCGTATGTTTCGTAGAACATGACTTTATGTTCCGAAAGGACATTATTGTTATTTATGATATGATTTATTTATGAAGCAAATGGTTTAGGTGAGATCTGTAAAAAAAATATGGTGCACAATCTTTTATGTGTATGTTTTAGGTGTCTAAGAAAACAATGTGGAAGAATGCGTTAAGGTTTTTCGTCGGTGTGGTAATCAGCCGTTTAGCTCAGTGGCTGGAGCATCAGGCCTCGAATGCCGAAGATGTGGGTTCGATTCCCACAGCGGCGACAATCTTTTCGCACTTTTTCTACATATTTTAATGTTCAATCTTAAGTGCAAAGATTAGCACTATAAACAAATTAAATTTCTATAATTAATCTTTTTCTTAATATTTAGGATGACTACAGAATATCCTGCCGTCTCGAGATAATTAACACTTTATGCTTCTTATTATGCTATCAATGATTGTGTTTTAATTAGTTCAAATATCCACGATGTATTGGCGTACAGTACATTGGCAAACTAATTTCTCCATTTTAGAGACCTCAAATTAAGCAATCCTCATTTTCAATTTAAAACCACGAATATTACTTAATTTCAAATTCCGAAGTTGAAATACATCACATGCTATATCTCTCATTATAACATTAATGTCATTTACATTTACCTTTAGTACACGCGTAATACGCCAAATTAATTATCGATACAAAATTTTCTTTCATTGTTGAATGGAACATAAAATTTTATACATCGACATACAAACATGAGGAATTCAATTGGGATTTAAACGTGTTAAAGTCAAATCCGCAGTTCCCAAAACGACATCGAATGAAGAAGACATAGTTTAAACTCTAAAAATAGAGTTTTTATACCTTCTTTTCTATTCCAAAAAGTTTCTATAACAACGTAAACAAAGCGTTTGGTTCAAAGAGAGAAAAGAAAAAAAAAACGCTCCACGAGCGTACGCGGCGCTCCCGAGCGAGGCGATAGTAATTAGCGTTCAATTAATTAGCGCTCTATCAACGGGGCGATAACGTCTGACTGCTAGAGTCTTCAATGGAGGTGTTTTATCTTCAAACGCGGCGTAGTTAGAGCGTTAGGCGCGCAATTGGCGATAGCCCCTTCGGCCCTGGCGACCCGCTCGCGATTCGCGTGCGACCCCGTCGCGATTTATCGCCACAATTAGCTTGTAAAGGACACGCGCTATATAAATCGACGAGGCGCCTATTAAGTGATATTAGATCGACGAATGCTTTTTGAATTGTTTTGATATGCGATATGATAGAATAAACACTGCAGAAGTTTAAACAAAAAATTTAAATTTACCAAAGTAACGGTTGCTAGGCAAGGAGTAAAAAGTACGTTCAATTGACTGTAGTAAAATGTGAATGAGAGGAATTCAATATAAGTTTGATTCATTTTCACGCGTTAACCAGAGCAGAAATTTAATACACGATACTTTAAATATTCCAATCGATCAATCACAGTGAACACATAATCATCGACGTTCTTTAATTAAATAAACAAGCATGCCTTTTAAAACTGCTGTTAAAAGACACGAAAACTGTACATTTCCGTAACTCCCATTGCTATAACTATAAAAATATACATTTTAACAGTGGGTTATAAGTTTATAATTGAAGCATAATCCTCAAGTAATCGAAACATCTCAGTAGATTTTTCGGTTTTATTCTTCCTTAAAATTAAGCCCTTAATGTTTAACAAGGATGTTTAACAAACATAAATTACACGTGGACTAACACCCAGAAACAATAGTATGTGGGTCACACAAATAGTTGCCCTTGTGGGAATCGAACCCACGACACCGAGCGCCGAAGTCATTGCCTTGGCGACTGGGCCACAGAGTCATCAAATTATTGTTGGGTGTTGTTATTAAATTGAAGCGTCTCCGCGCTCCCCTTGGTGGAATACGTTTATTTCATACATTTGTCAATGGGCGTGTAGCCGCGAAATAATTTACGCGAATCGCGCCAATATGTCAAGATAAAGGGGCACCTAGCGCGCTAATATCGAATATATTACGAAACTGGCGGGAGTGATAGCGTGACGAAGCGATAACACGCTCGGGATATTGGATGTAGATGTACATACATACAAAACATACACATATAATTATTAATATATATATTGAATACAAGACTAGCTTTGTTTCGGTACCATGACCGTTCCACTTTTAATTATGATTCTAAAAGATCCATAATTAAATGTAACATAGTACATACATATTACCAAATATTAAAACAAAGAAGCTCTGACGAGTTTATAATTAAATTAATACTTTAACCTTTTTTTTAAATTGATATTTTATTAAATAAAACAATAGGGTAAGAGTTTATAATAATATTTATGAATGAATCCATTCCATGTAACTAAAAGCTAACTAAGCTCTTTCTTACTTTTCTCATTCCTACGTGTCACTTCCTAGGGGATAGTTTTTTTTTCCAAATCCCTTTAATAGTCACCTAGAATACCTAGATATAGATTTGTGTTATCTATTTACAAAGTATTGCTTACTTTGGGGATTGTATGATGGGTTGATATCCAGTGAGTGATAAACATCACACCTTTTATTTGTAAATAAATACATATTAAAGACGAGACACTAGAAAACACCGAGCTCAACGCCCATTATTTTTCCAGTAGCGAGAACCTAACCCATGCACTTTGGCCGCCAGTGATCCGTTTAGTATCCACTACGCCAATCGGCTATAAATATTATAATAAAATGTAAGCTTAAATATGATAAAGAGAAAAGTAACACTCACCCTCTGGCCTAGTTGACATGAACTACCAAAGTCGACAATCTTGATTGCTGACCTTTTCGGGTTGCATAGCAGAATATTCTCGGGTTTAAGATCACAGTGTATTATATTTAGTTCTGTGGAATAAAAGAATAATAGTATTAAAACATGTCCTAATGCAAACTTACGGGAAAACGATTAAAGTATACCTTGAATTGACCTCACTTTTCATATTTTTACCTTATATTCGAAGCGTTGTAATGTAGAATTATTATAAAATAATAAGAACTCATAATGTTGTAATGGAGCAGTTGTATTGACAAAAGATTATCGAATTATGTTATTTATAAGCGAGAATTGCGTAATATACCGCCAGTCTATATAACGTTTCAAAATGCGATTGTTAATTTTTATTGTACGTTGTATCTTGTAGTCCCGGACGTTTCTTAAATACCTCATTAAGTAGGCTACAACAAGGCACCGAGTTCAGATTGGATCTTTTTAACAAAAGTACATAATGTTATTATTTATATTCATGTCTTTAGCCTAATTTTCCGTTACCACTAGATTCGTTTTTGATAACAGCGAAAGAAACTACTACTAGGTTTTCGGAATCAACAGATGATTAGACAATTAGGTAGCAAAGAAAACAATATTATTAATATAGCATTTTAACCACATAGACAAAATAAATTCACTTGTTGAAAACTTTTCATGGGCCATAATGACTAGTTACTATATAAATCGACGGATAGAAAATAAAATAAAAACAAAAACCGTATGTTCGTACTGTACTCATAAACGCACGTGAGAAATTATATTTCTTTAGCGTAACAAAAGAAAAATAACTAAAAATGTTATCCCGTTTGCCAGCACTCTTTGTTTGTGCAAAAAAAATAACTTGGAATTACAGGTAAATATCCAACAGTTACTGATTTGCCGTGAAATAAAATGTAAAAATTCACTCTCATAATTTTTCCCGAACGCGCCAAAAGAAGTATAACCTCAAAAAGAAATATCGAATGCACGAAACCGCTATTGTATTACAATCGCAACAGTGGTCAACACAGATTGAACAGAGGTTGTACCCACCTGGCTGACTGAGGAACAGTAGCGCCGTGCACAGCTGCTGCGCGAACTTGCGCGTGAGGTTGAGCGAGACGCCGCGGAAGTTGGTGTTGCGCAGCAGGTCGTACAGATTGTACGAGAGGAGCTCGAAAACTAGGCACAGGTGGTTCCGCCACATGAAGTGCCGCTTCAGTTTCACTGGGGAACGCAACGTGCGAATACGTTACTGCACTCAATTTGTTACATTATTGAAACAATAAAAGTACAAATGAGAGATTTATGTATGCTGTTATGATTTATGTACACTGCGCTCGCGCGCACACCACAAAATTATTGTGATACGTAATTTGAAATAACTTTATCGTTAATATGGTTCTGTTTCAAATTGAAAGGAAACTGATTCCTGTGATACAGGTTTAATTCCTAGTTCAGGATTCAGGGACTCTATGATTGATGATTGTAAGTTTATCAATAAAGTTTATTATTATTATTAAAGATATCAGCGGTGAAAGAAAATCTAGAAGAAAACATATTTTACATTTTTTTAAATCAAGTATTTGAATAAAAATATCAGTGATTAACAACAAAGAGATTACTAAACGGAAAATTTTAGGGAATAGCCCATCTCTGTTCTTATTTTATTACAAATTACGATGTATATTACAATGATAATATTTATAAAATAATATAAAATATGAAGCGACTTACCTATATAATACTTATTTTCGGCGTCTGCCCTGTTCATCATTTCTAGTAACTTGACTTCTATTTGTGCCTGATTTAGGAAGGGTTTCTTATTCTTAATTATTTTTATCGCTACTTGACACTGCTCCTCGTGGTCATACGCTTTCACAACCTGAAAAAATCACAAAACGTCTCAACATTAAAACCTAATCGCCTCCTAAAATGTTGACGCAATAGTTCCAAAAGCAGTCACATGATTGTATGATCGTATAATCGTTATATCTTGTCTTGTTGAACGTCCTTTTCAAAGACAAAATTGAGTATAGTTTTAGGGGGCGAAACGTTAACGTTTATTTGAACACAAGGGGATGCATAATTTCATCGAAAACGCTTCCAATTACTCTATGTATGAATCGTAGGAGGGGTATCGTTCAAAATATCGTCTATCCAATAGCACGATAAATCAATCACGGGCCGCTTTCGTTTCCCGCTCACGGGGTAGGAGCGAGCGTGGAGAGCATTATGAGAGATCTCTAAGTGCCCAAGTGAACGTTCAAAATGTCCGTATCTTACTCAGTTCAGCGGTGAGGGCAATAAAGAGTCGAAGTATAAAGACTAGGGTCGCACAGAAAATAGAGAAGCAAAACCCACCCCGTTCAGTTAACCAGAAAGTTTGCTCAATGGCCCGTTTATTCCATTTTTTTGTCATAATGGTCTTTTTCAGTCATTTCGTACGTAAATGGGAATTGAGTGGCAATTTGGCTTTCCTTCATTATTTATTAATAATCACCGCAATATGCAAACGTCATCAATGATGTAGATATCATAAAACTCACTAGAATCTCAGAAAATGTCAGTAAAATTTAAACAAAATTGTCAATTGCCATTAAATTAACTCAATTAATTGTAGGACAGGTACCTATAGTTTAAGAATAACCTCAACAATTAATTACAGCACCAGGGCAAAATCACTTTAGGTGCCAAAACTACTTATGTACTTAAAGCTTCGTGATAGCCGGCAAAAGAGAGCGTACTCTTTCTTAAAAGGGCGGCAACGCATTTGTGAGCCCTCGGGTGTTGCAGGTGTTCATGGGAGGCGGTAATTACTTACCATGAGGTGAGCCTCCTGCTCGTTTGCCCCTTTTCTCCATAAAAAAATAAAAAAAGTTTAATGTCTGAAAACCGTCTCACCTGTCCAAAGGAGCCCTTCCCGATGGGCGAGGAGATCTCGTACCGGTCGAGGAACTTCTCCCCCTGCTTTATGATGTAGTCGTGGTTGTCGTCATCGTAGCCGTCATTGTATAGCTTCCTCTCCTTCTTGTGCGAGCCGTCGTCGCCCAGGTACTGTTGCGCTCTCCGCTTTTTCTTCGCGTAATACACCTGTTGAGAGGATATGCCAAATGAGTTAGGTTGATAAATGACTTTCCCTTGCTTTCCATTGCACGCACGAGAAGGTGCCAAACAAGCAGCCCTCTAATTACACCCACAAGTGAAATCAAAGTATTGTGGTAACTGGTAACATTTAGGGGGGCGTCTGAAAACCTCACTCGCTAAGCGTTTGAATTTTTTTCTTCTTTTAAGCCATTTTTGCGTATATTTAAGTATTTCCTCGAACCTTATAAAACAACAGAAACTGATGCGTGAAGTTAGCAAATATCAAGTTCACGGAACGTTTTATTCCTTATTGGAATTCATACATTAATGCATTTATAAATGTTATGTAACTTCAAACGTATTACAAGCACCACAGCTCCTAAAACATATTCGTCAACTTATCATTTATGTTTAATATTTACTACGGTTTCATTACTTTATGGGGAGACAAATCCAATTTATTATTACTATAACTATTGCTCGGTGGTTTATTATGAAAAGTATATTCTAATTTGAAAATGTACCCAATGAAGCGGAGTAAGCCGTTGATGTCGAAAACCCATGTCTTATACAATAATCTCTTGTAATCACATACTGCGTAGCATTAAGTAATTTGCATCAGTAAATTACCAGAAAGTCGAGTACAGTTTATTTTATTCAAGTTTTTTTTAATCAAATGATATCGTCTCAAATTTTCTAATACTATTTATGACGGATGTACAATTGTAAATTACATAGGGCCATTTCTTCTTCCTATTTTATCCATGCCATAATTAATTTATAAAACTTAGTCAATGAGTGTGATCTTTGATAATATTATCAGTTTAATTTTTATCCCCTTCCATATCAGACTTTCACTGCCATAACCAATTATTGAATGTAACAGCTGTACTGTGCGCAGTCATCCGTGCCCTTAAGATACGATCTCGACTGTACGTATGAAATGATAACGCGTTCGTTCAAGCAATAACTGTTCGCACTTTTCCGTAAGCATCGTAGTTATATCGCTCTTCACATGACTGCTGAGCATTTTAAGGCCAAGACCTTTATCAAATGCTCACAATGCATTAATTCAATATGAATGTATTATAGTCAATAACAGAAAAAAACATACTGGAGATAAAATGCGACTATGATGAAAAAAATATAATACGCTAAGGCGCCATTAAAACGCTTTATTGTTGAGGTTTTTTGTGTGAATTTATCGTGGGCTCCACGGCGTGAACCAGACGCGTGATTTTGAGGCATATTTCACGAAAAGGCTTCGAGGAAGTATGAATACTAACGATGCAATGCCGTAGGCTGTAAACGTCTAGGCGGCCTACGCAGCATTATGATGTATATTGTGTGCAATGGGGGGAGTATTTTGAAAGCAAACTATATTGCTTCCGTGCTGCAGCGCGATTCTGACATTTCACTTCGTTTGCGCTTAACGAACGCTATAAGCGTTTACAGTTTTAATATTATATTGTGAGAGAAAATAAACCCCGTCCGTTTCTATGCACCGGCACAAACCGATCGCGATCGTCGAAATCGTTACGGATAATGGTGAAAGGATATATTGGGGTTAATAAACGGGTCGAATGATAATAAAAACGGGCCAAACGTAAGTATGTAGGTCCGCGTTATAGGAAATGACGCGTCGCGGAGAGCGCGGGAATTTCGTGCGACGGACGTTGACCTAAATATGCGGTTGACATTGATCGACGATGGTCGCGATATGCCCGCTAACAAAACATTCGGATGCGTGGATTCCGAGCGCGCCCCGTCGGGCAACCACCTTCATCGCTACTGTTCGCTTATTGAAAACGATCTTGTTTCTCTTTTTCACTTAGCTATTTCTAATATTTCAACCGTTACCGAGTGTGCGAGTAGAGCGTTGTGTTGGTTCTCAATTTTGTTTCTTATGCTCCGACAAAGAGTGGACCGCCATTAAAGCAAATGCCTAATATATCATATTAAGATTCTTCCCAATGCACATTCGCGTGTATTGAAGTTAGTTTATTCGATGCTTAATTTGTTTTCGTCTTATATAGTCGTCAATTTGCCTTTTTAGTAGAGCGCGAGCAGAGCACAATGGCACATCGATCATATGATCGAAGCAGACGTCACCACTACGTCACGTTCAATACAATATCTGGCATTCACCCGTCAGCGGCGTTACGTAAACCGCGGCCAGGCGAGAGCCGCAATGTCGGCGGGTGCATAGCACCGTCCGCGTGACGGAAGTGTCGCATATCGACGCGGCCGTACGATAACCCAAATATCCGACTTCGACCTACATAACCGATATAGGGTGTATTATTATACGGGCGAGCGGGCGATGGCTCCGTTGCGCACCCATGACGTGGGGTGTTACGTTTGCCGAACGATGGCTCTGCGGCCACTCGGGCGTATGGGACGGATCCGACCAACCAACCGTGCGTCAGTTACGTAATTTGAAAATCGACCATCGAGCGGGGGCTTCCTTGACGTTGGACGGGTGCCGCCGGGGTCGTGTTTCAGAGGCGTAATACGCTTAGCGCGGTTCGGTTACATCCGGACAGCGGGCCGTGGCTATATGGTGGCGAGGTGCGGTGGTGAGATGGTGCCGGTGGTGTAAGGCCAGTGACCGGGCACGTGGCCGCGAGATGAACGCGTCGGGGCCGGGGTGAGACGGCGCGCGGCGGCTGTCATTGATTTTCCCCCGCCCCCACCCGCCCCCAACGGCGCGGGCCGAGGCCGGCGGCCCCCCGCCCCCGCCGCGTCTCACCCACTTCCAGCGCCCCGATAACGAGGTTAACGGGCGACGTGAGCGTCTCCTAAACTTTAATTATACCGGTACAACCGTCGCCTTGCATGTTTAACCGGGCCGGGCGTTATGTACCGGCGGATCAGTTTGCGAAGGTTGAGAGCATCAGAGCGTCTGATGTCAGCACTACGCAGTCCGCTCCGTCTAACGAGCGCCGCCAAGTTCGGCGAACGGCACGCGAAATGGCACCCGACCTAGTTGTCGGTTCGAATCCGTTCACCCACTCACTCGTCTAGGTTGTTATCGGGCTCGTGCGCTCTTTTCACGACAGCCTGGTTACAAATAAAATGTTCAAATAGACGTTAGCAAACATTATAGGAACTCATACTTATTGAAGAAAATCAATGTGACTCATGAATATATTCTTCATATTAATGTTATTGTAACATATTGATACGGTACATAGTTAAAGAGTCACACCGAAATGTACAATGTATTATAATAATATATTGGTGAACACTCCTAAAGCTCATAATGAATCATGTAGTCCAGTTTTCAAGTGCTGTTTAATTTAAAGTTCTCTCCAAGTGGGAATAGTTTTGGGAACAATTGAATAACAGTAGTTAGGCCGAACACGTTCTGTTGCGAAATCGTATTCTAGAACCAGTCCGTACTAACGACGTTCATAATTACGAATAATTGCTACAATGTAAAATTTACATTTCCCAAAAACGGTATCGCTGATATTAGCAATCTGGTGAATGTAGGATTATTGTTAACGTTTTGCATTATGTTGTTAATAAGCGAACAACATTTTAAGGTTGAAATATATATTTTATATAAATATAATAATATGTAATATAAAAAACATATGGAGAAAAGTGTAATATAGTAAGTTTTCGTATTTTCTATGTATGTTTCGTATTTTACTGTGATAGGGCCACGCAGCCTTGGCTGTTGCACTAATGCAGGCTCGTCCAGGTTAGTACTACGACCTCACATAAGACGGCGTCAAGTGGAAGTATAAGAAAATCCTCTCACGTTTCGTCTGGTGAATGAGTAGCCGGAGCCCAATTTTCAAAAGCTTGTCAACGCATCTCGGGTGAAGCAGATGTCCATGGGCACTGGGACGGTATTCACTTATCATCAGGTGAACCGGCCTGCTCACTTGGCAACTTTTCACATAAAAAAAATTGTATGTATGAAGTTGTAAAATCTCTGGTTTTACTGTTGGATTTAGAACATTTAAATAAAGAAATAAAACTAAAAAACAAACCCGAAATTTTTCAATTGTTTTTCTGTCCACTAAAATAAGTAAGTTTAACGAAGAATCTCGATACATTTTGAAGTTGTATTACAAAAAAAGGAAAGTGGCACAAGTGAAAAAAAATCTGATTTTTTTCTAATCAGATTTTTTGATTTAATGCAGTGTCAATAAAACTAAGTTGGTTAAAGCGTTTTCTTTCCTGGAGTTGTGATGTCAAAAATACATCAGAAGAGACTTCGAAGGTATTCATTTAAAAATAGACGAAACGTCTGATCGCTTGGCAACTTTGCATATCAAGAAAAGTATATTTCAATTGAAGTAATAATCACTTCACGGTCACTTCATCAAATACCAAAGGAAATTTCATATGTGATTTTCAGATTCCGTGCATTAAAAGGAACCCACTGAGAGATCACTCTCTTGTCCGTCTGTCTGTCCATGTGTCACCACCGATTTTCTCAGGAACGGGTGGACATAGACAGTTGAAATTTGTACCCGATACTGAGGTCTGTAATAGGGATTAAGGCCCTGAGTCAACACGATAAAACTTCAGTCTTTGTAGATTGGCGCAGAATAGAGAAGAGTTCCGTTTGTTGGTCGCTGACATCCGATAGGATAGGGCACCCCCAAGAAGAAGAACAGCCAATAGATATACCACTGCCGGGCAAAGGCCTGCTCTGTACAGAAGGAATTAGGGCATAATCCACCACGCGGCCCCGCTGCGGCGGATTGGCACTCTTCACACATTTTTTATTTTTACTTTGAAAATGTTCAGGTTCCCCTCAAAATTGCTTCACCGCTGATTACGTGGATAAGTCAGTCTTTAAAATTTGCTGTTGGTTGGGTGGTTTAGGTTGCTCGAGTATATTAAATTAAAGTCGAGATGCCCGGATACTGAGATATCACGAGTTTTTATGAGTTTACAGGGTGGCAACCGAATGGAATGCTCGATTAGGTTATATCTGTCTAAAACGTAAGGATTTAAGATTGTGCATAAAATTAAAAAAAAGAAATTCAGGCTAGACCCGAATGCACAAAATATGCACCGAGTATGCCAGTGATTTTAAAAGCAACTTCATACTATCGCGGCCCTAACAACAACGATGAGCATAACTTTCCAAACGATGTTCACTCGGAACTAAAATTCGTTTGTTTCAATTTAATCATTTCACACGAATGCCTAATGTTCCTAAGCCTCGAGGCAAATTTCTCACGGCACATAATATAATGACATTTACCAACTTGTCACATCCAGCGAAACACAATTCATTGTATTTCCGCGGCTGTCGGTGATTCAATTATGGGAGCCTACCAATGATACGGGAAGCGGGTCGGGGTCGATGCATAGTCTAAATTTTTTTCGTTACAACATTTCCTATGTAATGTTTATTGTTGGCTTTTACTTAGTTTCTTTAATGTAAGTAGAGTGTAAATTAATATGTAAGTAGTGCTTTGCAGTGTGCCATATCATTCGAATCTATTATTTAGTAATGGGATAGCATTGAAAATTTTTAGAACTAGCCAGTTGAAGCATTGCCAATAAAAAATTCAAAATAAAGTTTGATAATAGAACTCTTTAACCTAATGTGGTACATTGCATCATTCAAAAATAAATTGGGGAAATTTCAGGTGAAAAATTTTTCGGTCCATGATCTATTACGAATTTCGTTGTGGTCTTATTCAGCAACAAAGCTATGATAGACTACGATTGGCATTTAACAATGAAGTACCCGTGCCACTGTTTAGAACAAAAAACAATAAATAAAAAATAACATCAATGCTACAACGTATGATAGAGGTGATAAGACAGTGACCTACCAGCAGATTTGGGAAAATCTAGGCATTGATAATGAGTCAAGTACAAAAAATATTACATCACCATTGAGGCCTCGGGAAGCTTGGAACCAGATGATTACCCCATGCATTGGCCAACGACCAGGGAAGCCTCCGCATGGATGGGTGTCGCGAAATGCCAGAAAATTTCAAAGGAGGTTATTCTTATGCTGTATTTGACACCGTCAGAGGTGATGAAACCTGGATATAATAATGCTACGAACCCCAAATCAAAATTCTATCCGCTTAATGAGTGTTTCCTGTTGACGCTCGGCCAACTTAAGAAAAGAAAGGAAGAAGTCAACTTTTAAAAGAAACCCAAGAAGTCAAGGAAAAAATTGATTGCCTCGTTCTTTTGTCGCATAGGTCATTTCGTCTATAATTGTGCTGGAAGACGGAAGGTCAGTTACTGCAGACTGGTAAGTTACCTGTTGTTCGCCAGTTGTTTTGGAAAATTATCGACAACAGCGTCGTCGAAGCGGGATCCTCCTTCACCACGACAAAGCTTCAGCGCATTCCGCGAAACGATCCATTGAATATTTGACTGCGACAGGTGTCGAGATAACGAGTCATCCGCCGTACAAACGCAAACTGTCGCCCTTTGACTTTCATTTATTCCCAAGAATCAAAAATAAACTTCGTACTCTAATAGTATGCCGTAGACGAGACCCCTAAGGAAGATTGGGCCCAATGGTTTTATCAACGGTTCAATCGAATGCGAAAAAGTAAAGAGAGAAGAGGAGACTATTTTTAACTATATTGAGCCGTTTTATGATGTTCGAAGAAAATTCAGAATGATTTTTGATGTGTCTTACATGATAAAAATCATATGGTCGCAATTAATTCATGTATTCTTGTAATAAAAATAAGGAATAAAATATTTTATATCTGTATATATCTTAATTATAAGCTTATTTTGGGAATATGACGCTCCAATTTTTATTTAGGAGTTCCCTTCTTTAAATAAACACTACTAAATACTCCATACTCTATTGCTCGGGCAGGGGAATAATAAAAAAAGAAACAGACGTAAAGAAAGTAACCCTATTACGATTCTCCTCAGCAAAATTTCGGAATATCAAAAAGTTTAAAAATAAAGTCGAAATCACCGTACTACACAGACATTAGGTACCAATCAATTTTCCTTCGCTACACAAATATATCTCGGGGCCGTGCGTCGGTCGAGACGGTTAGCGCTCTTGGGCGACCATACACGTGCGTCGCAACGTCACTTCGTGACGCCTGGTCCTGCACCACTGATTGAAACATCGCGATTACAATCGTAACCGGGCCGAATATTCACCGCCATTGGTTGTCAATGCATCTGCGACCCTCGGGTATAGCAGATGTCCATGGGCGGCGGTATTCACTTAAAAGAAAGTAATTTAAAGTATTTTAGTAAAGGTGGCAAGCGAGCTGGCGGTCCACCTGATGCTAAGTGATAGCGGCCGCCCATGGACATTTGCAACTTCGTAGGGCTGCAGTGGCCATCTTTTAAAAAAGTGGGCTCCGGTTACCTAACTCGCCAGAGAACAGCACTTCACGCCGGTCTTCTGTGAGGCCGTGGTACTTCCGCGGACGGACCTGCCCATCCGTGCTACAACGAAAACTGTTGCGGGGTTCTACCGTATCAGAATATCAATATAAAAAGATCTGGATGGTCTGTGTAAAGAATGATAATTATGTCTGTGAAAGGGGTGATTATTGGAGAAGACGGCTGATAGAGGAAAATGGAAGGAAAGGACACACAAGGTCGGGACAACAGACCCCATCTAGTGTGGGATAAGGGCAGGGTAAAGAATATTACATATATTTCAAATATTCAACTTAATGTTTGCCCATATTTGGTATTTGCATTCATGTCATAATTGCGACATACACTTATTACGTTTTGATATGTTCTAGGTCAATACCAGGGTATAACTAGCTATGTTATTTGTTTTTACATTTTCTATCTGAGATGATATTTCCTGACACTACTCATCATTGTAAGTTGAATAAATATTGCTTGCCGATTTATCACGTGCTGCTGTTTCTAAAATAACATTTTACGTCAACTCAACCGAACGTCTGATAAATACGTCTTAATAACGTTCTGAAGTATCATTTATTCGCGACGCAAAATCACGCTCCATAAAATTTCAATGCGGAATGAATTTGATATTCCTTGAACTTGGTCAAAGACTTAATTCATACATCTACTGCTACAACTGTCGTGTTCTCGATCTTCGTCGGTATCAAGATGCATTGTTGCTTACACAATTAATTCAATATACGAGATCTGTTCATTCGTACAAAAAAACGTATTGTTCAGACGGTCGTTGACGAGACGTCAAATCGAAAATGAGGCATACAAACTCGACGAGCGTCGCGACAGACGCGGAGGCGTCGGGCGCGGGATGGCGCGAGAACACACCGAGCCCCGTCGCGGTGGAATCCCAAAAAGGAGTTGAAACAAAACGCGAATACGGTCGCTAATTAATTTTTCATGGCCCCGCCGACGACACCGCGGTGATATGCAAACTACGCCCGCGCATTAAACACGCCGCCCAAGCTCCGGGTCGGCTCGCGTCGCAACGCATCGGGGTAGCATCGCCGCCGTTGCTGCCGCAGCCATCGCAACGTCAATAAGTGCGCCGGAACTGCGCAACTTTACATCATTAACACCCATAAAAAGACAGATATTGCGAGAAAATTTGTGCAATCAATTAGGAGTTTTGAGTTGGAACGTGAGGGGGGGAGGGTGAAAGGCGGAGGGGGGTATGGATGCGTGCCGAGTGCAACGGCGCCGGGGAGCATAGGGGGCGGCGGGGTGGAAGGCGGCGCGCGCATCTGTGCATTCGGCATATTTACCCCGATAGTGGGCGGGCGGGTTCACTGACCCGACCCAATGCAAGGCCTGCGTACAGTAGGGGCCCGTTTCATTACTGCCACCGCACCGCACACCGACGCAAAAAGCTAACACTGTGCGTCAAGTGGGCACGCACGCTTTTTTTTGTTTTAATCATCTGGCAGATACAGGCGGAATTCTGTTTCAGAGAGGTACAGCCCAGTCGGGTGAGGAGAGAACAGATGTCGAGCCCGACTATGGATAGATTTGTTGCCATATCGATCTAGTTGTCATTATCAACGTGGTCCTAGGTGAGTGATTAAATATTCATAACTAACTAATGGGCCTAGAGTAATGCCGTAGGTCGAATGTATCGGACGGGCGGTGTGGCACGTGCGAAAGCAGTGGAGGGGATGAAATTGGACAAATAAACAAACACAATGCGATATTTATACAAATACGAAACGTCGGAGCACAACTGGCGTCTAGACCGCCGACCGGCGTACCCACACAGGGATCATAATTACGGCCCGGCATTCATAAATCCAGTGATTAAGGCAGACAGACACATTCACAGCCGTAAACCGTAGACGAAGGTATACTTATGCAAAGCCACCCACCCTTGCAGTCGGCGAATCGGATGCAATACTATAACCTACCCCAAGCGTACCCCTCGTTGCGGCAGGTCAGGCCGGCTGTGAAGGGCATTTACATAATATCCACGCGTGTATTTTAACCACTATCCGTAAATAAAACTTTAACAACAAACAATGTTTCCACAATACGTAGCCAAAGAGATTAAAAACTAAAAGACAACCGATATTATACTCTCAATTACACCGTACTTTGTTTCAATTTGTTCCGGATTAAGTGAAGCAATGATCTACTGCATGTAAATAAAGTAAATGGTGTGCAGAAAATCCAAGTCTAGCTCTCGAAAATATGTTTAACATCGTAAATCATACGTTAGTAGCTATAAAGTTGTTCGGGTGTTTAGTAAAAGTATAAACCACTGATTTATTTCAAACAAACGTCTTCGTGTACAAAGAAATTTGCGAAATTTGTATTGGATGGTTTATGCAGGCGTATGGTTTATGCGTATATTTTACGTCTGCTATAGACAAAAAACGAGATGGGAATGATGAGTATTTACAAATTCAATACAGTTTAAATTAATATCAACTTCTTTGTTATGCATGTATGTATTTCAACATTTCAAATTACTACACTTTAGTAACTAGTAACCTACTTAATAAGTAGGTTTAAGTTCGAATAAATTATTTTAATAAATTATTTTCATTTATTGTTCAAAATGTCATTCTATATAATATATAGAATGGCAATTTGAACAATAAATCAACAGCGAAACATCAACAAATGACAAGACTTTAGCCAAGTAACATTGGGACCATCGATGGCAACAATAGAAAACGAAACGTTAGCGGATTAAATGCTTGTACCTTAATTTGTAAGACTCTTTCAGTTTACAATTTCAATTGTGTCCATGGCACAATGCACTATTCAATACTACGAAGTGATTTGAAAACATCCTTAAGATCGTTCGATGTAACCTTAATTAACTTTGAAAGAATTTCTTCGAATAAAAGGCAATCCGTTTGAATACATTAAAAAAAATTACAAATTGTAAATTCGAAGAATGTTTTTTCTCATCTGAAGAGTACCTTAAACTCTATTGATTGTTAAAGTCCACGTTATTTTTTTTACACGCTTGGTGCTGGAGCCAAATTATATCGAAGAAATATCGATGTCCGTTAATAGCAGCATTAACAATGAAACGCCAGATACGAGTACATTGCCCCGGGGCACGTTACGCGTTAAGCCGTTTATCCCGATTGCTATTGTGGAGTAGCTGTCGTTAGGCCACATCGGAGGCCTCAGGAGCGTTTATTAATGACTTGGACGCCACGGCTGGTCACGGAATAAATTATAACGACTGTTTAGGATGCATTTGATTTGTAACAAAAAATTGCTTCTAAATATTATATCTTAGTCTCACACGTTCAATTCTTGGCACTGTCGCCTGTGGACGATGCAAAAAGATCAAAAGACGTTCACAATGTGGACCCATCATGCACTCATAATATGTTATACATTGCCATCGGTAAAGTGTCTCATGCGGGGGCACTTCGAATAAATAAAATATTTTATCCATTGATGCAGGACCTTCCGTAACACGACCTGTGTAATTCCTCGAACCGATAGTAGGTTAATATAATTTAAAGGACATAATAAGGTTTTTCTATCATTGCACGCAGAAGGCAATATAATGAAAACGATGAAAATATACATTCCCTTATTGTAGCTTTGTGAAGAACGAATCTTTAGCGTCTTAGCGTAATTTGTAAACAATTTTACATAAAACATAGCATATATAGAAACATCAGAATATCAAGAAATAAGGATAAGTGGGAATTAAAATACTTCGAATGACATCGTCATGCAGAAAGAAGCTTTGCCTCTATGTATCCCTAAACTAGATGAAACCTTACCTCCAGAATACAGATTTTTAGACAATGATATTCTATATTGTTAAGCACGTTTGAATTAGAATCAATTGTAAGTACTAACTTAATTAAAATTTAAAAGATTTTTGTTTGTAAATCTAAAATATAAGTATTTCTCTATAAGCGGCCTTTTAGGTTTGATTAATTAATTTATTTAGTACCCGGAGGACCGAGCTTTGCTCGGTTTGTTTTTTTTTGGTCAATCGTGTATTTTGGAAATTACATTTAGATACAAATTATTGAGTAATGAAATATGCATAATATTTTTCGATCTTACCGACGTAATAATAAGAAAATACGAACTGATGTTTTTCACAAAAGAAAGAACTTTAAAAAAAAAGGGAAAAACATAACAAAATAACAAACCGACAAAAAATTAAAAATAAAGAAAGCAATGATCTGGAATCGAAAAAAAATAAATGTGTAAATGATCGTGACGCGAACCACGGCCGTCTGTTTTGGGGCCGCCCGATTACCGACCGAGCTATTATGACATTTTCTCTTGCGGCGAAATTTACGGTCATATTCGAATTATATTTTTCATTCCCTGAAAACAGGGATAAAAGGGAATTTTCTAAAAATGAAACCTAGCGAGATCCATTTTTTGCCCCCGAATCTACGCACATACTAAATTTCATGAAAATCGCTGGAGCCGTTTCCGAGATTCCGAAAATTTCAGATCATTAGTAGTAAATGGAGTGCACTAATGAGACGTCACAATACTACTTAGGCTAGACGCGTATGTAAAAAGAGATGAGATCTTTGGCTTCTGATTTTAGATCAACGTCCGATGTAGGATGTATTTTTTCAATCTTCAAATTTAATAATTATGAACAACACGAACAAGGCTCGATTTAATATATATTTTTTGAACGCTGTTATCTAAAAAAAAAGAGAAAATGTCTATCGAATCCTTTCAGCGCGGCACTAGAGAGGTCGGATTATGACCCCGTTGACTTTAAAAGGTAAAGCATAAAATATTATAATAATGGCGAGCCACGGCCACAAGTCTGTAGAATAGCTAGCCTAGAATAGAGAGTATGTACGCCATTTGGTGTTCAATTCGTTGGTCCATTTTACTCTTTCCATTTCAGTACAATACTGATTTCATGCGGATTCTAGTCATATTGTTTTTATTCAAGTGCACTGCCTTTATTAAATGAAGAATAAAACACAGTATTGAATACCTAAGCGTATTTCTATTTACTAGCTACGCATATTTTAGTAGTATTCAGCTTTACTACCTACGATACGCGAGTACTATTAAGGTGAAATAAGAATTTTAATTAGTAAAAAGCGCCGTCATGTCACTAGCGGTAGCGGGCGACGCGACGTATTCAAATGGGAATGAACTTTTGCCCGTCAATGATATGCGACATGCATTTATCGTGTCTGCAACTCGCCTTGCACGTTACCGAGCGCGATTGGCCCCAGAAAACTAATAATTAAATCAGTAGATGGGGTGTTTTCCGCGTCGCCCTCCAGCCTCTGCGGCGTGCGAAGAGCGAGGACGGACCATTAAATTACACGCTCATTCAAATGACCAGATATGCCGTCCTGCGCCGCCACTCCAAAGTTTGACCTCGCAATTACTAAAATTGGTTTGATTTACCATTTTAATTGTAACAAAAAGCTTATTTTTTCCACCGGCGCGCCGCGTAGGGGCGGCCGTCGGCGGGTCGTTGCAATCTCGACCGAGTGACTTTCGGCCGGAGGGTCGATTAGGGATCGGCGGGGTGGCGTGGCGGGCGCGTAGCGGATCGCCATTTTGAGCTGTGGCGTCATGCCGTTAAGGCGTAGTTTCTGTCGGTGGTGTCCGTAGGCGCGAGAGGAGAGCTCTCGAGGTCGGATGCTGAGAGCGGGGCTCTGTCGGTGGTGCGGTGCGGGGTTGGGGGGGAGAGGGGGATGGGACAAAATCGATATGGTCGGGCGGCGCGCGACGTCTTGTGCCCCCTCCCCCGTCTCCCCCCGCGTCCCTCTAATGAATGAGAGCGCACATAGTCATCTCTGCGGATGGCGGCTCCGGCGATACGGCACGCCGCCGTCGGACCAGCGTTGCGCCTTCGATGCAATGTATTGGCCTCGCGCCGCGATAACGAACACAACCTAGATCAATCCGCACGCCTCTAAATATATCTCTCGTTGCTGCCGTATTGCTTTTCCTATTCCTTTTATCTGCACGAAAAAGTCTACTTTTAGACGCTCTCGTGCATTTGAAAATGTGGCGGTCTATTGTATGAGGCCGACAGACAAGTTGATATCGCAAGTCAATGTAAAGAATAAATAACTAAAGAACAATTTTTGTACAAATTAATACTTCCGACCTCTCTACACTAAAATTGGTATAACCACTTATTACTAAAATGGATATAATTTACGGGGATAACTTGTTACTAATCATTGCTGAGAATTTTGTGAAGATTTTCTTGTGTTTAAAGTTTAATAAAATCATATTCTGCATATTTATTCGCAAAGAAATAATTCTTGCATAATACGGATACCTTATTTATAATAATTCCAACATAATACGGTTCTCTTACGTCAATATACTGGATTAGTAAAGATTCCTTACGGAAAGTAGAGCCGCTTAAATAGAACAAATGGAAGGCGGAACAATTGCCTAGAAGTCGCGATGGTATTACTGGCCATCAAATAGACGTAACGCAGCCATGAACTGTTTTATTTATGACGCGGAGACGGTCTCAAGCTTCGACTCACTTACAAAAGGAAATGATGCCATAGACTCATTCCCAGTAGTATTAACTTACTTGATTTACTAATAAATAAAAAAAATTATCTCTTCATCAGTTGACAAAATTTTATTGACAAGGTGTGTCAATATAAATTTGTTACTGTTTTAAACGATTAAAATTTATGCCTAATAAAATGTGATGATAAATGTGAGATGTCTTTGATGGGAGATCCTATGTTGAGTACCTACAGTGAGTTATTTATTTATTTTTATCCTGATGTTAAGTGCTAACCACCGCTCATGGCACTTTTGCAAGAGTCGTGGGGTTGCAGATGGGGTTGAAGATAGGTAAAAGGCTGAGAAAAAAGCTCCGCAATGCATGTTTGTGTTAAAATTATGTTCTAGTTCACCAATTTTGAAACATTTTTTAATAACATCAAGTACAACAGACTCAAAGTAGAGGGGCCACGCAGGCACCCAGCTAGCGTGTTGAAAAACGTCTGTGTCTGGTGTAGGGTTACCATATTAAATTGTTCATGTGCGGGCTTAAAGCCGTGGAAAAATTAATTTATTTGTGAATGCATGGACACAACGTACATAATAAATTCCAGTAATTACTTTTTTCGGGGAATTCACTTCAGATTAATTTATTCCTCAAAAAAATAAATAAACCATCCATATAGTTTGACCCTCTTTGAATAACACTACCACTTGGTGACACAAAACCTCGTTTCCTTCCTTGAAAATAGCCATTTCTATCGTGGTCAAATAGTCATTGGACTTTTAATAAAGATGACACATGTCCACACCGCGCGGCGCTTAAAATTGTTCCGCTTTATATAATATCCTTACTAATTTTATAAACGCGAAAGTTTGTATGTCCTGTGGCACGCCACCTGAAAGGAAAAAGAATATTGAATAAAAATAATAAATAAATATTAATCGTATTACAAATTATACTTACACATTTCTGCACGAGATGCGTCGCGAATGCGCTGGAGTTGGAAGCGCCGTTGCATCGCGCGATACAGTAGTGCGCTTACGGCTTCCGTACATTAAACTGCGTCACTTGTACCGATACATAAACCTTGCGAATCCAGTGGCTAATATTTGGACAATTAAATCTCTGTTGTGTATGTGTGAGTTCTAACGTTGTGTATGTATATGTTACGTGTTTTAAAGTGTAAATAAACAATATACCTGTGCTGAACAATTATAGTTTGATTTACAAACGCGACAACTATTATAGGTTTATCTCAAATAGAACCCGAAACCTATAAACTGGTGACCCCGACGTGATCTGAGGACCTTAAAGTAAGACCTACTTGCAATTTTTCAACAAACAAAAGATGCGACATCTTCCACGTGAACTCAGCCCGGTGAAGGAGACGGTCCCGTCGCATAAGGCCGACACTGAAAATTTACAAACGGGTTCAGAATTATTTCGAGTCGGTGTCAAGGTGCCCCCATTCTGGCCGGATCGCCCAGCTTTATGGTTCGCGCAACTAGAAGGCCAATTTATATTATCAGGTATAAATTCGGATACTACCCAATTTTATTTTGCGTGCAGCAACTTAGATCACCAATACGCGGTGGAAGTGGGCGACATTATTGAGAACCCTCCAAAGGAGAATAAGTACCAAACGTTAAAAGCAGAACTAATACGTAGACTATCGGCTCCCCGTGAAGAAGAGATAAAAAAATTTCTTAGTAGTGAGGAGATGGGAAATAGAAAACCCTCCCAATTTTTGCGGCACCTTCAACATCTGGCTGGACCGCAAATACCAGAAGAACTCATACGCACGACATGGCACAACCGACTGCCACAGAACATACAGCCCATTATAGCGTCGCACGGTGACATGCCCATAGAAAAGTTGGCAGAATTGGCAAATAAAATACTTGCGATAGCTGCTCCAACACCTGAAGTCGCAGAGATAACGCCTTCTACTTCAGGCGCTTTGAACCAAACTTGGGTAGCGATGGAAGCGATGGCAAAGCAGATAACAGAGCTAACAAAGCAAGTAGCTGCATTAAGCGCACGTCAGAACCACCCACCGGGAAGGAGATTTTACCGAAGACGGTCAAGATCTCGTTCAAGATCTCAAAGCAGGAGTGATATTTGTTACTACCACAACAAGTTCGGTAGCCGTGCGTATAAGTGCACAAAACCATGTGGTTTCCAGCAGGGAAATGCCAACGGAAGCCAGTAGTGGCGGCTAATGACTGCCTTGATGAGTGCAACGGCCGCCTCTTTACAACAGAAAAGAAGACAAAGATAGAATTCCGGAGATACGGGATCAGACCTCTGTGTTTACCCGAAAAAGGCGACCGCAGGCCATCGAAACAAAACAAAGTTCGAACTATTCGCTGCAAATAACACAACGATATCCACTTATGGTTATTTACAGTTACATCTGGATTTCGGGCTGAGGAGAGATTTTACTTGGAAGTTTGTTGTTGCAGATGTAACAAAGCCGATAATTGGTGTTGATTTTTTAAGCCACTACAATTTGCTTGTGGACTGTCGACACCATCGCCTCATTGACAATCTCACCAGCCTGTCAGTGTCCATCGATCATCGGAACATAACCAGGGATGAAAATGTCACAGTTAAATGTTAAGCGTTCTGGAAATTCACCATTTCATGATCTACTGAAACAATATCCAGAAATTACAAGACCTGCAGGTACTCCTACCGTATCCAAACATAGTACCAAGCATCACATCAGAACATCTCCTGGACCGCCAGTGAACGCACGTCCACGCCGACTAGCTCCTGATCGTCTAGCAATTGCCAAAAAGGAATTCGAGGAGATGTTGCACAACGGAACTGCACGTCGATCTGAGAGCCCATGCGCGTCGCCATTACACCTAGCGCGGAAGAAAGACGATGGATGGCGTCCATGCGGAGACTATCGAGCTCTTAATGCGAGGACAATTCCAGATCGATACCCAATTCGTCATATTAATGATTTTGCTTACCAGCTATCAGGAGCCAAAATATTTTCAAAAGTTGATTTAATAAAGGCATACAATCAAATTCCTGTAGAACAGAGTGATATACCGAAAACAGCAATTACCACACCTTTTGTTGCCTCTTTGAGTTCCCATTTATGCATTTTGGATTAAGAAAACGCGGCTCAAACCTTCCAACGGTTCATAGACGAAGTGACGCAAGGGATGGACTACGTCTACGGGTACCTAGACGACATACTGGTATTCTCAAAAACAGATGAAGAACACTTGTATCACTTACAGCAACTGTTTGATAGATTCAAAAAATACGGTGTACTTATTAACACAGCGAAGTGCACTTTCGGAGTACCAGAAGTCACGTTTCTTGGTTACCACGTATCGTCTGAGGGCACACGCCCCCTTTTAGAGAAAGTAGAAGCTATACAGCTACTTGAACCACCTAAAACTGCAAGACAATTGCGAAGATTTCTGGGAATGGTAAACTACTACCGAAGATTTATCGCTCACGCAGCCGAACTCCAAAGCCCATTGAACGAAGCACTCACAGGAAACATCAAAGGAGCAACACCCATAAACATGACGGACAAGATGTTAAGAGCCTTCCACAAATGTAAGGAAAGTCTGACAAAAGCTACACTTCTGTCACACCCAGATGTACAAGCAGAACTAGCTTTATTTACAGACGCTTCAGACGAAGCAATTGGAGCGGTACTGCAACAAAAAAGGAACAACGTGTGGGAACCACTGGGTTTCTTTTCCCGCAAACTTTCTTCAGCACAACAAAACTATAGTCCTTATGACAGGGAACTTCTTGCCATCTACGAAGTCATTAAACATTTCAGGTTCATGCTGGAAGCTAGAGATTTTGTCGTATACACAGACCACAAACCAATAACATTCGCGTTTACAACAAAAAGAGACAAATGCTCACCAAGACAATTCCGCTATTTGGATTACATATCCCAATTTACGACAGACATCAGACACGTGCCAGGCAAAGACAATGTTGTGGCTGATGCACTTTCAAGAATCGAAGAAGTAACTCAAGCAGTAGATTTTACCGATCTTGCAAGAGATCAGGAAAAAGATCCTGAACTGCAAGATCTACTTAAAAAAGATACCGCGCTGAAGCTAAAGAAGTTGCCAAACAATCAACTGTATTGTGATTTTTCGACTGAACAAATTCGACCTTACATTACACCAAGGTTTCGCAAACAAGTCTTCCGAAAAATGCATGAACTCAGTCACCCAGGTGCTACAGCTACCGCTAAGCTAGTCGCAGAAAGATTTGTTTGGCCTGGAATAAGGCGAGACTGTAAAACTTGGACGAAACAATGCGCTGATTGCCAACTTAACAAAATAACCCATCATACTTCCTCTCCTTTGTCCACGTTCCCCATTCCGTCACAACGTTTCTCCAAGTCCACATCGACTTAATTGGCCCACTGCCATATTGTAATGGTTTCAGGTACTGTTTGACTGCAATCGACCGCTTCACACGCTGGCCCAAAGTCTACCCGCTGCCGGACATCACCGCTGAAACGTGCGCCAAAGCTTTTGTTTCCGGCTGGGTGTCACGCTACGGATGCCCAGAATCAATTACTACGGACAGAGGGCAGCAATTTCAGTCGCATCTTTTCCAAAGTATTGCAAAACTTATTGGCACTGAGCACCGCCCCACCACCTCATACCATCCTCAATGTAATGGAATGGTGGAGAGGCTTCACCGACAACTGAAAGCTGCCATCGCATGTCACAATGCAACTCAATGGTCGGAAGCGCTACCTCTAGTGCTCCTTGGCATGCGTGCAGCTTGGAAGGAAGACCTGAAAGCTTCGTCAGCAGAACTGGTTTACGGCGAGCCTATTAGACTACCGGGAGATTTTTTTAAGCCGAAGCTGAACATACATTAGATCCGTCTGACTACCTGGAACGGCTGCGAAAACATATAGTTGGTTTAGCACCGGTACCTGCATCTAATCACAACAAGAATAAACCATTCTATATACCCAAAGATATCTGGACAAGTAAGTTCGTGTTCCTGCGCCGTGGTCCTGAGAAACGTCCCCTACAGTCACCGTACACAGGTCCGTATAAAGTCCTAGAACACGGCCCAAAAAACATTTAAAATAGAAGTACAAGGCAAAGAAATGACTGTTACAATAGACAGAATAAAACCGGCTTACCTCACGAGAGACGTCATCTGCAGGGACGAAGAATTCCAGATGCCAGTGATGACATCACCATTCATCATACATATGGATGTTTGTTACTCTTTCACGCAAATACTAATGAATGGATACTAATAATATATCAGAATAATACATAGGCTATATGATTAATAAAGATAAATATCTTTATTAATCATATAGCCTATGTATTTATATATTAAAGATATTTATCTTTATTAATCATATAGCCTATGTATTTATTGTGAATTATCCAAAATATAACAATAAGTGTCAAGTAAGTAGGAAAAAATTCTGCCATCTGCGAGCTATTCTGGTGTATGATAAAAATCTCATTGTTATTTGCCTTTGGCCGTGCGGGCGACGCCGCGTTTAACAGCTAGTGATATATATAAGTGAATGTGACGGATGAAATAAAACGTTTGATATGGAAAGAGATAGCAGTCCATAGAATTGAAAATTGATTACACCATTTGGCGTAATTTGAGTGCCCCAGTTTCGGTGCGCTACTGTCATATCTACCTCGTATTTTTATATAATATCATTGGACTTGCGCCCCACAATGGAATTATACGAGCATAGCACCGAAAACGTGAAACGTAAACTTAAGCTCGCCGGTGCGGACAATTAACGCGAACGCGTCCTAATAAATCACGACACGTGGTTCACCTAGCGGGCCCAGGTTAGGCCGGTGGTATTAATAAAGCCGGCTACGACCGCCGCCGTCGCGCCGGCTGCGCATCATCAGCGTTTCAGGCACCGACGAATGGCGGTCATCTAAAACTCATTTAAACAAACCCGCCGTCCGAAATAGCGCGGTATTGTTCGCACTGAAAACACGGTGACTTCCGCATAGGCAGACGAAGGACAGAATGACGCTTTCGTATCGGTAATATAAAGCTGGACGTAATCTTTTTCTTAACATGCAATTGTTTGATATCTTGAAAGTAATCATTAAAAGAATTCTCGTAATATTTGTAACGAAAAGGTTGAAATGACGCAAATGAGACCGACTCAATCATATCGACCAACAATTAATCTACGTAATGCCTACAGATATTAATTAAGCAATTGAGAATAATAAATTAATAGTTACATGAATTCTAGTGTTTATTATTTCGAATAGATGTTGCACAACAACGGTGAAGGATGTTACAAACAACTGCGAGAATACGTTTATTTATATATCATGAACAGAGATAATCCTGGCCTAGCAGGCCATGGTTACAAAATTATTGTGTCGTTATCGGTTCCTAATATGACTGCAATATTTTATGTCATTCGTAAATCTGATGTTGAGCGTATTGGATTTATATAGAATACACCTTATATTTACACGAATACTATACATTAATAAATGAAACTATGTCTCTTGACCGATTCGCAAGCCTATTGAAATTAAAGAAACACCCTAATTTCAATAGAGAAGAGGTTTAGATGTTACCATCAGCGAAATTAAATCTAGGACCAAACGAAACACTACTGCAAGATAAAATTCAATTAGATCCTTCTGCGTAGATCGGACATAAACCTAACATTTTAAAATCTGGCGGTAGGCCGGGTTTACAATGCCGTTCAGACGTCCAACGCCTCGGTATGTCACGTGACCATGAATGATGTAAAGAATTTGAAATTAAAAATAAACGCGATTACTTCGTAAAAATAAAGTTTAATTTAGTGATTGAAACATAATAATAAAAAAAAATCCCTACAATTGGAAGGCAACGACGACTCGTTGCCAAGATCAATGTACCTACATACTATGAATAATCGGACAATAGGGGACGCTTCTGTCAGCACCGAAAACGCCCTCGTTCCAGAAAGGGCTAATTTGCACAATGGAATCGCTTGGCAGCCGGCAGCTTTGGTCGGTCTTGAACTCGACACCCGTCGCAATACTGCCCCCCGTCCAAATTCACCGATACTAAACGTCATGGTCTACTTCACGACGCCATCATCACCTTGGGGCAAGACTCCCCCACCCACACACGTTATCTCACAGCCGTGACAAATGCGAATACAAAAGCAGTCACTCGTTTTTGCCCCTTATTTGTACCGTTTGTGCGATAGGATCGGTAGAAAATTCGCAGGCGAACTTGAAAGTCGGGTGTTATCGAGATAAGAGGAATTATATATCGTAATTTGGACATTGAAAAGAGAGATTATTCACGAGGCATATGTAAAAAGTATTAACGATCTTATTCCCGTGCGATCGTTAAGATTTAAACTAAAAAAATAGTCGTTTAGCCCCTTAAGAAAAGGGCTTGTGTCATGCTGGGTTCCAACGGTGTGTGGTAGTAACGACGGTCAAAGTTGGTCACAGACAAGACCTGGGCATAATATCTGTCGAACATATTAACCGTCTAACAATTTTTCATGTAGAAGTCAATTTTTATTAACGAAAAACATAACCGAATCAAATATCTCGCTCCGTATTCATTTTGTAATTGATTTAGTGTCTCCGGAGCCTAAGATCCAATACCAATGAAATTAATCTGGGACCACATGGGAAGCACCAGCTTTCAAAATATAAATAAAGAATCATCAAAAACGTAAAATTGCGTATTTCTAAAAATATCAATAACTGTTTAGCTTTGTCAAAGTTATTTTGGACTACTGATAACCTAAAATTATCACATTGTGTTAAGAAAGCCTGATTAGTAATTAAAAAGAGTGAGTCAATATATTCGTATTCTTGTGCGTAGTTAGAAAGTACAAGTTTTGCTTTCAACGAGATTATAGAAATTTTCTTCTTTATTAAATAAAGAATTATTAACATATTTTTGCTGAAACACAATGTTTCAACCGAGTCCAAATAAAGAACATTTTTGATTGATTTCAGCCGAAACGATAACAATTGTGAAATGTACATATTAAATATGTAGGTGCTTAATATTATACGTATTTTCTCTTTTCCGATGAAAACATTACGATAAACCAAGTTGTTAGCCAATTATGTTGATACTAATTCAAGTAGAGATTCATAAGCAGCGTAAGTAATAAAAGTACAAAGCTACACAGACCCTGCTAGTCTAACGTTTCCGTCCACACTTCAGGTCTAATGAAACTAGTCCATCGGAGGCTTACTCTATCGTTACGAGTTAAGAATCGAGTGGTTGATTTTAAAAGGGCTTCGAGAAGAGAACCCGGACCGCGTTAGCCGCCGTTGGCTTATCGCGGGGCCTCGATTTGCGTACGCGACGTGATCTCGGTGCCCGGGGCGAGATGCCGATAGGCGGCGTCGTCTGATAAGGCTCGGAACGCTCGAAGCGCACGTCTGCGCCGATAGCGTAAACGGTGCTTGCATCATCCTCAGACACGTGGACGTCCGTACGCCTTCGAGGGCGGCGAAATGCAACGGCGTTCTCTCTGTTGCATTGATAGACGAGGAAAATACAAGGGTCACGTGAAGTATTTACGCTTTAGCGTGCATTAAAATGTAAGTGAAAGAATATATTAAAGTCATATAAATATCATTTTTTTACTGTGGTAACACAGTCTTCGCTGTGGCACGAATGGGCCGGTCCGTCCTGGTAAGCACCACGAATACAGAAAATACCGTCGTGAAGTAAAAGTTTAAGCCGTCGCCTTTCGTCTGGTGAGTGAGGTAACTGGGGTCCAGTCTATTAAAAGGTGGCCACGCGTCTGCAACCCTACGGGTGTTGCAAATGTGAACGGGTGGCGTTTATCACTGAACATCAAATCAACTCGCTCGCCTCCTTCTCTGTGTTACGAATAATAAGGATTTCTTCGAGAACTTATAAATGTCCATGTTTACCACCGGTTGGAAAATTTTGACCTGTCCAATGAAAACCTGCCAACCAGGACCCTTATTTTATTTCTTTTCGCAAAACACAGAAACTATAAAATGCAGATATAAACAAAAACAAAACGACGCAATAACATCAGCATACATTTAAAAACAGGCAAAGGACCATGCTAGTGCTGACCAAGGTATTACCTAATATATCGATATTTATTTATTTTGATGATTCTCACGCTTTATTAAAGAACTCTTTTTGTTGATCACTATACATTAACGCGGTAAAGGTTATTGTATTTTACCCATCCTAAATTGCGTCTTCGCTCAACGGGCGAATCTTCCTCTTCCAAAACCAGCATATTCATGCCACGACATACGTAGCCAATGCATATTATATGACGCTCCGTCATAAATGACGACGTGCGTTCAATTCACTTTTACATCTCGCTCAATTATGAATAATAATACAATGAGACATTTCGCATTCGCGAAACAATTCTCGGAATATACCAATGACAACAGCGTGGGTTAGTTGTTAATTTTCAGCGCGATTTCAGCGTCGACTTCTTGTGACGTCAGAGCCGGACCGTAACAAGCAAAAATGTAACGACCCTGTACAGTGCTAATAACGTGGCGCAATTGAATGGGCCAGCGACCGAACTTCGTGCACATATTAATACTTCGAGCGGGGTGCAAACTTTAAACAAGCCCACATTGAAGTCTAAGAAGCGCTGCAAGTCTGCGAGGGGGCGAATAAAGTCACTGCTAAATTATTACATTTCTCGACTTATGAAATATTTATTGGAAAATTCTACTTATCGCCACAGAGTATCCTATAGTTTTATATCTGTATAGCATCATCTATTGCATATTATTTTTGAATTACGTACCCACTAATATTTTCTGATTAACAAGAAACAATATCCACACAGTCTCGGTAAAATATTCATTCTTATATTAAAAAGCACATTCCTGAATTATTTCCGCGTTAAGTAATCCCAAAAAAAATCCCCGCATGTCTGCACCGACGAACGCCGACGAACGTACCACCGTGAGGAGACGGAGCGAGCGCCAGCGGAGCGCGTCGGCCAGGGCCCTTAAGAGGCCGCCACCGGACCTCCCCCCTCGGCGCACCATAGCGGCTTCACGCACGGCTGCTGGGTCACTGCACTCGAGGCGACCGGGCGACAGCTCGGATCCCTCCAGGTCTCGGATATTCATCAACTGGTACGGAGTATCAAAGGCCGATGAGGTGGGAACGTGCGACGTTTGTCACACGGCAACCGCGATTATCGGCCGCGTGAACGAGACTGGCCTCTTATCGCGCCCGACACCCATTCTCCGGGGCGGGCGGACGGTGGCGTGCACGTGGACTACGCGAACGCGCGACCTCGTCGTTTTTGTCGCCCGCCTAGTGTCCAACCAATGTGAGCGACGCGTCCGCTGCACTGGGACGGCGCGCCACGTACACGCGTTCGATACTCCGAATCTCTCAAAATAACCGATAACTCTCAAAATAACCCACCGCACAGGATCTATCTATCGGTACGACCATTGCCGCCAATTTTCGTCACCGTCATTTCTAAATACAAACAGTCATCAACGGATTCTCCTGACTAGTGAATTCCTACAACATCTCACCCAAACTCCAATGAGTTATTGATAATGAACGATGTTAGGTGGAAAAGAAAAACGAACAGCGGGTGTTCCTTTTACGGTGGTTCTTAGTATAAAGGACTCTTGATGTCGCCGCAATTAGTTTTGCGAGACGTAATAGTTATGAAAATGGCGAAACGTAGTCAGTGTACAGTCGGGCGATGGAGTGTGCAAGCGACTTCGCCCCTTCGCGCGATTAGCATGTGGTTGCTTGTCCCGCGCCGTGGCCATAATTAGCGGAGAGTCGGGATCGTGGCAGCAGTCCAGGTCGATCACTCGGGTAACGGGACCGCACTATATCGGGTACGGTCGTTGACTGTGTGAGATTTTTTCTCCGGAATCGCTAACGTTCCGAATACATCGCCAGTCGTCGCTATCGCTAGCATATATTTATTTTAAAAACCGAGAGCAAACAATTTCCTCTCATTAATGTGTATGTTCAGATCTCTCTATTAATATAAAATTTAAAACTAGAATAGACTCGACCCCGAAACCGCAGTTTTTAGAGCAAGCAATTTAATTAAATCACCACCATCTTGAACCTCATGTGAATTATTTACTTATTATACTTTGAAGAAGTTGTTTTACAACGAGATAGATGCCACGAAACCCACATTTTAGTTTACCATGGGCTGTCATCCACTACGTCACTAATAACGGCTTTACACGGGCGAGGAAATTAATACTTGCAACTACTATTTAAGTTTCTTCTATTTGTGAAGTCACCTACGTTTATTTTAGCCATCGCTCCGAAGTTAGACTGTTATTACACATTACTTTTATGAGCCTCGATGAGTAGCATTTAGTTTGAGAGTGGTAATTTTGTAATTGACAAGAACGTTATTTAAGCGTACCGATTTTCTTTTACTGGGCGCGATATATTCCACTGAACCGCCTCAACTCATGGAAATGAATGGAACTCAACACAACCTAATAGAAATGTGACATTTTTTTATTGGGGAGATGAGAAACGAGACAGTGACCGGCATGATTGTAACCGATCACCACCACTTATTAACATCCTCAACGCCTGAGCTTGTAAAGCGTTGACGGACTTTTCAGTAAGATTATCTTTTTGCGGATTCCCAAGTCGGAAGAATAAATACCTATATATAACTATGCAACTCATAGGACGATTCGTCATTTGTTTATTATTAGTCTATTGTGTTTGACGAGCTTTCTGTTATTGCCCTAAACACGTATTGTTTATAAAGAGCCATCCAATTATAGGAAGCTTACTTTTGTTGTCATCTATAAACATGGTTGAAGAGGAACAGTTGTTGTAAATGTATAATAACAAACGTTGTGTTACAAGACAATTTTAATATCGTAGTAACACAAGACATTGGAGAGATGATAATTATGATCAGTTTGTTTTATAACTGCTCAATGCATGGTTAAGTCTTGATTTAAATTTAATTTACTTGTTTCTGAACTTGAGGTTGTAGTTCAATATATAAAGTGGAACAGACGAACTTTGTGGCGTAAAAACAAGTTGAGTAAATTTATTGAATACGTCCAATTTATAGGTTAAAACTAAATCTAAAACCTAAATCAATCGAAAACAGTGCCTTCTAAATATGGGTACAGATAAAACTTTGGGAAATAGACTATTGGCCAAAACAATTTTGACATCCTTAATTTACATTTGCACACACATTTTAACCTGAATCGTCTTGAAACAACAACACAAGTGACAAGGGAACAAACAACCCATCAGGCGCAAGCGCACGCATTACCGTAGAAAATAACTTTCGACCGAGAATAGTCCGTGGGCCGAAATGCGATGACGCAGCCCCGCCGGCAACTGTGTCTAGGCCGCGTAGTTTGATATGCTTCGGTGCACTGGGAGATGACTTTTATTGTTCGATCCCGCTTATATTTCGAATGCGAATTTATAATAGTCCACGGATAGCATAACGGATAAAGTTGACCTTGCCTGTTACGAATTTCATGTTTACTGTTAGTTAATCTCTCTTATGTACTGTGTATTATTTAACCCTAGGACTCCAAGCTATTTAAAGGAACACTTTAAGTTTCTTGGCCATAACCATCCAGAACGAGTTCTGCGATCAGCTGAAGATCTAATTCTAGCACCGCATGCGTACAAAACTAAATATTATAAGAACTCCTTTACAGTTAAGGCCATCTGCTTGTGGAATGAACTTCCTCAGCAAATTCGTCGTTCGAAGACGCTAGACAAGTTTAAAATTGACGTAAAACAACATTATCTATCGCTTTGTAATCCATAGTTTTTAATGGCAATATTCAGATTTAATTCTTCTCTCGTGTATTTATTTATATATATTATATATTTATTTATGTTTATGTATGTTTATTATAATTTTGTTTATCTTATTATATTTAAGTATATTTTGGTATTAAGTAAGTTTATTGAGCTCACCACCTCCCACTATTCATTAGTTTATTTTTCCTCGTTCTAAGGTTGTCTGGAAGAGATCGCTTTTTAGCGATAAGACCGCCTTATTGTACCTACCCTTTTAAGACTTATTTCATACTAATTGTATCAAATTCTTTGTGGTGTACAATAAAGTATATAATAATAATAATAATAATCTCATTGATTCACTAATTGCTTGAGGCGATTTTGGCGATTTTTCTGTCAATGCTGGCTTTTCACAGAGTTTAGCAAATTTAACGTAAATTCAATTCTAACGTAAATCATATGTTTGGGAATGGAAATAAATGGAGTGGAACACAATGATGAAAGACGTGGAATTTCTATTTGAAAAACATAAATAAGATAATTGGAAGAGATTTTGTAACAAACAGGAAATAAGCGCTTTGCACAAGACTACATGTTTTACTATCAAATCCACTTACAAAACTAAAGCATTTTCAGAAACATTGTGCGATAGAAAATATTACGAAACAGTATACCTTTATATTTAACATTACATAATTTTCAATGATTTAATGTTTTGAAAAGTTTTTCTAACCATTGATTACACAAAAGAGAACTTTGTAAATTTATATATCACTTTGCGAAGAACCAAGTTTTCACGATTAATAAACAAAACATCTCCAACCGCCTATGTAATAAATACAGGAAATGCATAGGAGAGGCGTCGCGTGGTGGCATCTCAAATATTCGTTGATAGAGCACGCAGTTTAGAGAATTTCATCTCGAAGCGCTTTAGATAATACGGAATTCAATTTCCATTACGCGAAACCGTTAATATGTTCCCACCGACATCACCTACAATGAAGTTACTACGTAATATTGGGCTTTGATCATCAAGCATTTCTCTCTTTTACTAACATATATTTACTATATATAGTAAATATATGTTACATGATACAAATATATATACTCTATTTGTATCTACTCTAATTGTTCCTTTAATTTTTCCCATTATTTTAATTTCCCATAATGTTTCCTTTTCTCGAACAAATGTTTGGATGATTCTAATGTTTATCTTTTATTCTTTGCCTTTTTGCTTTCAGTTCAGTTGCCGTAACTGTGAACTCATGATCGGCCAAATGGCCGGCAGAAACGCCACCAGTTCCTGTGCGCTATGACTCAATAGACTACCAATTTTAAATACACGCATGCTAATTAGATCAAAGGTATTAGGTAATTAGGCTAAGGAATCATATACTTGACAGATATAAGGAAATTATTTAATTTAGCCTCATTCGAGAAAATTAAAAAAAAATTAATATAACACATGTTCTAAACCCGAACCCGAACCTGAACACGAACCCAAGCTTAAAAAGGAATGTAACATAATTCACATGAAAATATATTATTTCCAACTCGCCTATCTCATAAATCGCCGAGGGCGATTTCCGTGAATCAACTTTTTAAACGAGATTTCTTAAATGCCATAAAATCCAAATTTGTATGAATCGCTTATCTCATTTCGCGACAAATCTCCGCAGAGTTGGCCGAAGTGTTTGCATTGCTCGGGAATTATTATGCGGGGCGGACCTTAAATATTTTTATGTGACTCATTTATTCGTCCTTTGATCAGTCGCTTTGATGTAGGGAGCGGGCGGGAGTAGAGTGAGGTTACATTACATCACAGAGCGGACGCCCAGGGAACATGGCTGTTATTTCAATCGGGGGGGATTCTATTTTGGTTTTAATTAATGTTACGCCTTAAGTGAGCAATGTACGGAGCACTTGAGTAAAAGTAAAAATTATTATGGATAACGATACCTAAATATGTAAGTGAATGATTGGTTGAAAGGGTAACTGTCTGCAACGGGGACGGACTAAAACTCGATCTTGATCGATCTCTTGGGATGAAACTTCACATAGAAACAAACAGGTAGATCAGTAGTGGGTCTATAAAACAGGCCGATCCCTAAAGTGTATGACTACAAAAGAATTTCATATATACGTATGTGAGTTGGTCAAACATTGTGGAATGAAACTATTTTACGGATTTTATCGCGTTTAATTAGATTTTTAAATACCCGACGGTTCCAACTCTTTACAACGTGTATGGTCACGGGACAGAGTGTAAATAGTTTCATTTCACAATGTAAAATATCATGTAAAAAAAAAAGAAATCCACATTGTGATATTCAGTACATCATGTAGACAGATAAATCATTCAAATTATGTAATTCACAAGTGACAAGTGATGATTTTGTAATACAAGAGAATAAATGTGACCAGTTATAAATTAAATGTAACAAATCTGATCAGTGAATTCGACCTATTAGACGCTAGACCACCACTTCCTTTCTAGACCTTAATCACACCAAACATACTTGAAACGCAAAATCTAATTCATGCAACAGGAAACTAAACATTTCATTATCAGGATGTGGTAAAAACTTAATAATGGAATTATACCTACGTGAAATTTGGCATTAACGAACATATTATTCTCCAACTAGTGGTACCTTTTATTGTGGAAATGGTCGGAAAGATCAGCGTGTGAACAGGAACACATTTCTGGCGATTGTTCAGAATCGCGAACAGGAGGCTCGCAATTAATCTAATCGCTCCTAATGGATCATATCGTAGTATAAATTGAGCCTTTACGTAGACATCGGCAATTAAAGACAACCTGATTTAAGAAACCAGTACATTTTAACTAAGGCACGATTGGAGTTTACATTCGCATTTCTGAATGCTTAGGTTCTTAACAGATATTTTTAAATACGCTGTAATAATAAGTACACAAATAGACATAGTAGATGTCATACCACAAAAAGATGACATCCAAACGATGCTTTCTAATACTTAAAACCTTGATACACTTAACATAGAACCTATGTAAGTATGGTCAAAATTGAGCTTAGTTACAAACAATGTTACAAGATATTGCAGAAATTTATATGCAACTATAAACTTTATTCAATCATACAATAAATAATCAATAATCATTTATTACTACAATCATGTATGTAGTTCAGTTTATGTTAAGTCAATTGTAGTCTAAATTTTAGGGAGCGTAATCATTATTTGAATCACATTTTTGACGTTTTTCAATTAGGTAAAGTTTTAATGAAACACTCGGGATTAATGGCGCACGCGAGTAGATACAACAAAGGGAATACAACAGTATATCGCAAACGCATACGAAAAAATGACGTCATTGTAAACGGAGGCTAATCAACAGTTTTCGCTGGTGCACGAATGGCAGTCTTATCCGGGTATGTACCACGGCCTTAAAGAAGATCAGCGTGAAATGGCAGTATTAATTATGTTATTGCGTTTTGTCTGATAAATAAGGTAATCAAGGCACACTTTTAAATGTAACCCCTCAGGTATATTATATTTACATGAAAGGTGGTAATCAATTGAACCGCTGCTCGATTGCCAAAATAATAAATGATAATTTTTAACAAAAAAAAATCGACTTCAAACCGGAAACTAAAACAAAACAAACATAAACCTATAAAATGTGACGGTTGAACTTGATTTCTCTGGGATGCCATCATCAGATCTGTGTTTCCTTATCATGGTACCACCCTTGGTATATGTCCTTTCTAACAAAAAATAATCGAAAATCAATAAACGAAGTTATCCGCGAACACATATAAAAAAAATGAAAATATATATGGTCAAATTGAGAACCCTCCTCCTTTTTTGAACAGAATATCCGTTCAAAAACATTCGTAATGGGCGTGAAACGGAAATAAATAGAATTGATTCCTAGCTGTTTTCGTAACACTAGCTCAAACAAACAACAAAGCATACAGATTGCAATAAATCCTTATCTTGAGTGCTACAAAAAGATATTACAGGCGCGTATTATCCTATATACGAGTAATACGTATTCCAAACGGGGCACAATTAGCGAGCGCTTGACTCCCTAAGCCCGCCTTGTCACGGCGACATTTTGCACTCGAAGCTCGCACCTCAAACGAACTCGGTACCAGAACAAAGTTAAGGCGCCTTTATAATCGCCCAATGGTGAACTCGCATCACAGGCTGGGATTAGAGACTGTGGAACATCGCATTTGTTCAGCCACCGTCATTAGAAATTGAAATGGTTTTGACTATTTGTAAGCAGAATTAGATATTTAAAACGTCGTATAACGTAAACAAGCGTGACGATATTTACTAAGAGAATTGGGTATTTCGTTTTTATTACACGAGGACTCTAAGTTAAGCATATAATTTACTTCTTTGATTTATACCTTTTGTTAAGGAATAAATCAATTTAATTTATAAAAACCCATGTCAGTCAGTGACCAATGATTAAGCTAATGAGAAACAGGGAAACGTTATACTTTTAACGGGAAAATGTAAGTAGCATTTGGGGCAAGCGGACAGATAAGAAAATTTCCTTGTAATTTTAAATACATCAAAGTAAAATCAAATAATCACAATTATTAAACAGAATTAAGTCAACAAAATATTCTATTTGTTTTTGTAATCACGCGCTGGCTAGCAGATAATTTTTTTTGAAAAAAAGAATTATTCATCTTTGCGATATTTAAATTTAAAAAGTTAAGGCGATATTATTGCCCCATTAGTAACCGTGTAGGTATGTAACCAAGTACGATTGGTCGTTGAGGCTAACCCCGACACTAATTGTGTCAATTATACAAGAATATATAGAAACGAATCGCTTGAGGAAAAAAGAATAGATTATATTAATCATTTCTATTCCTTATCGATTTTCTATGACGATAGGCATCGACGGCTCTCATCACAAGATATCATAGAAACTCATTCCCTTTCAATAGGCAAAGCAGACGAATCATAAAAGCGTTTGAACAATTCAAGCATCAAACCTAGCGGCACCCGTCTCTTGTCCCCGCCATCGCCGTTTAATAATGCCCACCTCTAGTGCCAAAAGTTGGGGAAGCCCGCCGTCATTATTATCGAGCCATTTATTCGGCAAATTGCCTCCACCGATAGCAGTTCGCGGGTTGTGCGCGACGAATAATTTCCATTATTTCCTTCCTTACCCCGCCACGGCCCCGGGCGATGTTGACGAAGACAATCGATGGCAGCTATAACGTATACAGATTACCGTACGAAAGTTAAATTATATGGAATTTTTGAAATTTATAATTTAGCGTATATCAATGAGACATATTAACATAAATAAAAATATTTAAATACACGAGGTTATGATAGGTATAATTGAGCAGCGTATAAACCACAATAGATAGACAGGAAAACCTTTCTATTGAACAGCAGTTCGAAAAGCTAAATATATAAATAAATAATACGGGTTATTTCTTTTAAAGTATCATTCGAGTGAAAACATAATACAAAAAAATATTTAAACAAAATAAAATTAGAAACTACTGTGAAGCCATTTATGAAACCCTATATACATAACACTATCCCATCCGCTAACCTAATACACGCCCATGAACGATGATGGCAATAGACATTACAATTACACACGTAATAGGCGCACAATTCGGATAGCCGCCGGGCGGAACACGTGACAGCGCAGACGAGATACCGATCGCCGTTTTAATAGAGTTCTTCGCTGCACCAGATGATTTCCTGCGCCCGAACCCACCAGACGACTGTCTGAGATGGTCGCGATAAGCGGGCAAACAAGTTCAATATTCCAAAAAACCGGTTCGGTTCGGCGTTCCAAGTTTCCGTTTGGAACGATCATTATCTTCATTGCACACAGCCCGTGCGGCGCGGTGATTTATGTACGCATGGGTGTACTTTATCAATGAAAACGTTAGGGTTCGATCAGTTTTATCTATAGCCTTACGTATACAGCGGATCATCGAATCCGAGGCGGCCAGTCCGGCGATGACGACAACAGTTGATAAATCCATTCGGACGGTTGCGCACAATTCCAGCCATTATCCGATGAATTGGCTTTAGACAAGACGTTGGATTCCGCCCACGGATGCCGATCGGCCCGTGATCGGTGTACTCGTTGCGTGTTTGGTTATAGGCCATTTAACATCTGGCCTGCGGGCCAATAAATTCAATCAGTTATAGCGGATAGCGAACGTGCGCTTTTAGCACGGAAACAGCGCTCGTGCGGTGCAAAGTAAAGTCATTTATTATATTAAAACTATTCTATATATAAACTAGCGGACGGGACAGACGTTAGCAAAAAAAATGTAGTGGACCGAATTGTGAATCTAAACCATTCTCGAATCGACCTGAAGACACACAAAAAAATTTCATTATAATCGGTCCAGTCGTATAGGAGGAGTTCAGTGACATACACACGTACAGTAGAATTATATATATATAAATAAATGTATAAATTTGGGGAAGATCAAATGTTATGCGATAATAAGCACGCATGGCATGCGTAACCATGCCAACAGATATTTAACATTAGCTATCGGAAAGCAAAAAAACAAACGAGGGACACAAACGACGGATGACTTCTGTAGGCAACCAACCGCATTCACAAATAGACAGTCGCGCCGGCATCCCGTTCTATCTGGTAAAGGCGTCTGAATGTCGAACCTCTCGGTCACCTTGGGCCGAGCCGCGAGATTCGCCGGGGCTGGAATTTAGCGAAAATGTGACAATCTTGCCGTGAATAAGGTCGACGGGGCGTTAACCTAATGAATATAAATTAGATAATGCAACGACTTGAGGCGCACTCGGGCACTTTAGAACGGCGGTGATGAGCGCTTAAGTGAGCCGCCTGCAGAGACTTTTAAACAAAATACTTCATAAATCAATTGCAAGAAATGCGTACACTTTTATCCACAAGTTCTTCTGTTCACCGTACTTTTTACGCAATTTGATTACAATAAAAGTATTTCAAATTCTATTCCTTAACCATTGCGATTTTAAGATAAATTTTGCGTTTCTGACTTTAGACCGAATAATGTGATTTGATCATGCTGGAAGATGAATAATGATTTAAATTGATAAAATCTAATTGCAATACTCATACGTAAGTGAATTTTATTTTTTGCACTCGCCAATATTATCGAGTCGAATGTTTGTCTCTAAATATAAACATTGCTGGCAGAGATTTCGCAATATAAATAAAAGAATTGTCGACATCTAAATTATTTCCACTCGCGATGGAACCGCTTCTACTTCCTATTTATTTCGGGAACACTGACGAGTTTCGCTGCGAGAACGCTTGTCCTCTATGTATACGTGCGTCAAATACGTGTACATAACGCAACGTTTATTGTTTACGTTAAGGTTTTCCGTCGGAACGAAGGAAAAACGCAACGTCATCATTGACGTCCGCGAAACGGTTAGGCGCATACGTCGGCCACAGCATTAAGTGCAATTCGAAACAATTACGCACGTCGAACGTAAGACCTGAAAGTCATTAAAGTTGACCGAAAAGTGTCGATTCCGCTAGCGAAACCGCGAAACCGCGGAACTCGCGTCATACGAAAAACCCGGTGAGGATGGGGCGACGAAAATAATTAGACTATAGCGGAATTTGGTAGGTGTTGAATTCGCCGTAACGCGAGTTTCGGTGGGGATTTGTGGTGTGTGGTGGAATTTTCTCCAATTTTGTGCGTGAATCGTAGGCGAAACGCCGAAAAAAACATTACTGAATGCTCACAGTGCATCTGTTAGATTAGTTCCTGTAGTTTTTACGCCTACTCTTTCTATCTAGTTTATTCTATTTTATCATGGAACTGTTTTTAATATTCTTATATCAAAGTTTTTACTACGCTACTATTGTAATCAATTGAAATTATAAAAACAATCTAAAAAAACTACCCTTAAAAAATTATTATTGGTGAAATCTAAAACTCAAATACAATGAAAAGTAATTATATGTACATACATACGAGTTAATGACAATGCCGTAGTTCATTATCACCATCCTGCTGCGCTTATACCACCTGGATGGGGTCGAGACATTATGTGAATCATAGTAGAACCTGCCGCCTACCTGACGTCAACCCTCCAAGACCCACCAGACCCGAAAAATTTATTGATGATGCGCTAAAATACTTTTTCAATAAAGAATAAATAAATAAAATATTTCCCATAATATCGAGGCAACTGCAAGTTAAATTGTCTCTCAAATATAATTTAACAGAAACCATCATTTTATTTTAAACGGATAATTTCAGATTCATGCTAATCAGACCTAAATTCTGATAAAACGTAGGTACTTAAACGAACCATTTGATCTCAACAAATAGAATGTGTTATATATTAGAATGTGTTGCTCTCTAAATATAAGTGTTATTCAGGTACCTATTAGTAAGACTACACTACTACAACTACAATATAACGTGTGCGTTACTTAAAACACATCAAGCTCGATACCTAAATCGCAAAAAACATACAATTGAACATTGAACAAATACGTAATTAAAACATTATTACAATTAAAACACAACAACTTTAAAAATCACACATTGTCCTTTGCATTGATAACTTCAATATTTGCAAACTCACAATTTAAATATTCATAAATATAACAAGCATTCCATAACAAAAATTTATGCATTACTCCTTTTAAAATTTCCTGGAGTTTATATTTTATTACTACTCATAGAATAAACTTGCGTTGAAAATAATATTACATTTAATGTTCTATTTGATCATCTGAATTTATGAAGATATTAACATTTTCTTTAGCGCCTAAAGCGGGATAAGACACAATGGAAGCATTTTTGACTTGTCTATGCGTTACTTTCGAAAATCTTTAAAATAGAACAAAGAAGTGTTTGTGTTCGCAACAACCAATATTTTATCATAACACTAACGAGAACGATGGTAGGTGCGACACTTTCAAAGTTTCACTTCACCTGGTGAATTAATAATTGAAATTCGGCGAGCATAGGCCAGTTGCTAAAGGACGCCGAGGCAAGGCGGTTTGTCAAACCGATAGCGGACACTAATTTAATACGCACTCGACGCTCCGTCGGGTATTTTTCAAACGGAGTGACTTAATTAATTCCTATAATTACCATATCTATTTGTGTCGTTACTAATTCTGGTTGCGTATTCAGTTTTTCTTTGTGCCGCTCCTCTATCACTGTCAAATTTTAGAATGGCTCAGTATTGTTCGATGGTTGGAAACCGTTACGAGTATTGAAATCTACTACTAACAACTATAATTTCACTTGTATGAAACGAAAATGTAACTTCGAACGATACTGTATTACATTTTTATTTAACGTCGCTAGCGTCGCAGCGTCAAGTGGGCATCTTTTAGACCCATTACCATTTCCCCACAACGCATGAGCTCACTGTCATAGACAGACTAACACACACACACACACTACAACATAACTGGAGCGCCTCGGCGCCGGCGCACACTCGGTGTTATTGTTTCTACCCGGCTCTTTAGCGCTAACTAAGTAACGAGACGTCCGCTTTGAAATTTAAATCGCGATCATACGGTAACAAATCGTCGGGCGCGAGCCCCGTATCTCATTATCGAAGGTTCGTAATGAATGTCCCACGCATGAGTGACTTCGCACGCTGCGTTTTTAGCGGCCCCGCGGTGTAGCGTTACTCAAATTAATTATGCCTTATCTCTTGAAAATGATACTGGCACAAATCTACATATTGCTACATTTTAACGGGCAACGTAACGCGGCCACTCCGCGGCCGAGAAGATCCGGTATAAATTATATTTATATGTAGAAATTTCGGTCCGTTTTTACTCTTCTAATGAAACTTCTTATCGACTTTGAAGCACCCAACGTAACTTAACACCTACTTACTTATCTAAATTTTCTTCATGCCTAAATATTCTCAATATCGAATGAATCCGAATTATATCCTGTTTCAAATCCAAGTTTAAAAATATAATAATTACTATGCAAATTTAAGTCTCATCGACGTCAACCCGGTCCGAAATCATCCATTACAAGGTGTTAGACAACCTGATATAATGTCTCTTAAATTAAATGAAAAGCTATTATGCTTTTTTATATTATTGTCGACGATATGTACTATACGCATAATGTTGCGTTTTGTCGTCTGGCACTTAAGAAAAAAATCAATGATTAGACGAACCGTTTCATTGTATTCACCCAGAAAGCAACGGCCGTACCTACTTATCAAATGTACCTAGATATACACCGTTCCTCCCATCGTGCGGTGGGCATTGAAAACGAAACGGATCGAGAACATAAAACGTGCAGAGCGCGGCGCGCGCCCCGCAGTGGTGTGGGGGTGTATTTCGATAGCGAAATATTTGCCGGCGTGCATCGGGCATCGGCATGTGTGTATTAGATCACGTGATGCGATTAGCGGTGGGCGCACACACCTAGGGGATTATTCCGCGCCGCAGTAGCGAGTCCATCAAATAGATCGGCGCCGCGATACCGTCTCGACCGCCCGCCGGCACGGCTAGGGTCGCCAGGTCTACACGCCCCGACGCCGATAATTAGCCCCGCGTTAACCGAACGCATGCGGACGGACGCGCGATCGCAGTCGATATTAATTTCATATTAATCGGAATAAGAAACTATCAAATTTCTTTACACAATATAGGTGTATTTTAAGCTCTTATTGAACGCCAATAAACTATCACCTGTTCACTTAATTAGACCTGTCCAGGGAAGAACCGACTAGAAATTGTGGTCTTGATATCAAATTTTTTTAAATCATATGCACAAGGTATAATATCGGCAGCAGCCAGGTGCAGAAAAAGCGTCACTTCTTCTCATGTATATAAAACCGTGAAAATGTTAATGTATTCGCTCGCTCGCTCTCGCGCTCGATAGAAATTAATTAGATATGATTGGCATAACATTTGCCACTCCTTTCGGAAGTTATAAAGATCAAATTAACTCCTGTGAGTCATTGCATGTGAAGCGAGAAAAAAGTTTATGTAAAAAAAAGGGATGTCCCTCGGATTATAAGAAATCTGGCTACCCTAGCTGTGTGTTTCGCATTAGGATATTGGTCTCCCAATCAATTTTGTTTCGAATGGACGCGGCTGATGCCCTGCTTCCGATGCATTTCTACTGATTAAAGGTGCCCAAACGAAACTCGAACTTGTATGTATCACCACATAAACAAATAAGTTCTAGTGGGATTAACAGCACGCGGATATTCATGCTGTTCACTGTGCCAATGCTGGGCAAAGACCTCTTTACAGAGGGTATTAGGGCATAGTCCACCACGCGTGCCCATTGCGGATTGGCGGATAATGAAGTTCAAAAAGCTTACTGTTTTATCATTTACATTAGACTTGATGTTATGAGTGCTTCATGTATTAAATAACTTACATACATTCTACTTTTACTCAACGAGGATGATTCCGTGGCGCATTTGCCAAGTTATTGGCTTCGGCGTCGGGGGTCGTGGGTTCGATTCCCACACGGGACAAATATTTGTGCGACCCACAGATAGTTGTTTCGCATCTGGGTGTTTGTCCTCGTGTAATTTATGTTTGTAAAACGTCCTTACAACACAGGATAATATTATCCTAAAGTGAGGGCAATGTTTTTAAAAAAAAAAAAACGAAAAAAAAAAAAAAACAACGTCATTACACAATACTATGCAAACGTTCCATCGTATCACAAGCACTAAACAGTGTCTGTTAAGTTTTTCCATAGTTTAAAAAAGCTAGCGGAAATCACTTTCAATACCTTCCAGAACCCTTGGCTAGAGCGAGACGTAAGATATTTTGTCGCGCTTCAGGTCGTTGACGTTTCCTTTTTTGACAATTTAACGCGCGAAACTTTACATGAAAATAGTAGCGAATACAATATTTTACATCTTTTTCTTTCTATTTATCATCTTTCTATTTACTATACTTTTGTGTATAATTTTTGTTTCCTATTGCTTTGCGTTAAATAGCTAGCCTTATATTGTTAAAAAATAACGCAAGGAACGACGTTATTTTCGATACATATCTTGTATTGCTAAGTTAATTGTTTTGCTACTGGCTGTGTTTTTTTTTACTATATAACAAATAACTTGTTATCACTTGTATCCTTACTAATATTATAAAGGCGAAAGTTTGTATGTATGGATGGATGTTAGTTACTCTTTCACACAAACACGTCAGAATGGATTTTAATGAAACTTAACAATAACATAGCTTATACATCAGAATAAGACATAGGCTATAATTTATATACATATTTTATTGTTTATCTATCTTTCGGTCTTAAAGTTACACGCTCAGCCTATTCCACGCAGACGTAGTCGCGGGCAGCAGCTAGTTGATAATACATTACCGTAATAACCTTCGAGGCGAATGAGGCCCAAGGAAGAAGTGGCCATCGACGACCCACTTAAAATTTTAAAATCGATAAACAACCGATTCGGAAACTACACACCGGTCGGGGCCACGCGGTGCGTACACATACACATTAAAATTTCAAATTAATTGGCCACAGATGATCCACCGCTATCACTGCGCGGGGGCCGACCGAGGCCCGACGGCGGGTTTTTCAAAATTCATACGCGGAACAAAAACTGTGGGCGGGCGGAGTGCGGCCCTCGCCACCCCGATGTAGGTACTTACCTGAAACAATGAAAACGTTTTATATGAATGCTTGGGTTTTTTTTTGCCGACGAACGCGAGGATGGGTTAGCGGCCTGCACGAGATCGATACGGAGATCGCGCGGGCGAGTGATGCAAGTCATCGGGGTCGTCAACACCGCCACGTGTTTTGACGCTCTGAATAATGACGTCAGGCTGACGAGGCCGGTTTTATTGAGGGCCTCGCTTTGGGGGGACCGTATTTGGCTTTCACCTTTAGATTTTGGGATAAAGCGAGCTTAAACAATGTCTGAAGGGGGCGAATTTTAAATCCGGAACCCTTCGCTTGATTACGGATAAAATCACGAAGAAAATTATAACAGAATAGTGGGAACAGGTTTTAAGCCAGAGCTATATTCCGGAGTATATTATATCTAATATAATTTTATTTTGAAAATTATACAAAAATAATAAGATAACAAAAATCGTATAGTACAAAATTCAATAAAAAGTCTTTTAAACACGCTGTTCGTGATGCAATGAGTACACGTCGTCATATCATATTTGAAACTGCGTGCAAACACACGAATCAATAAAACGAAATAGACCAGTAGTCGAATAGTTCTTCGGGGGCGTTCGTATGCGTTATGGCTCGTAAAGTACAAGTTACAAACAATAACATTTCCCGTTGGCGTCGAGGACGCGTGCGTACGTACAATGAACCGCGCAGAGCAGAAAGAAGTAAAAAAAACAATAATTCCACTAACATCATCGCTATGTCAACGTCTGTAGGGTCGGTTTCCTTTACACACAACAATGGCAGGTGTGCAAAGAGTAAACCCACTATCCGCGTTTTAAAGGTGTAAGATAAATCGAATGGCAAGGTACGCGCATAAAATATGTAATGATGGAGCCGGCCAATGCGTTCAATCCATTGATTTTAAATATGTGCTGTTTGAAATTTAAATTAAAGTTAAGTTAGAAATTAGTTACTTAGTAACTTAAATCACATTCTTATAAAAATGTTAGTTTTAATCAGTTAAAGATTAAAAATCCGAAACTTTTCAAGGCACTGGCGATTCAAAAGTAAGCTTGTTATCATGTGATGAAGTCATCGATTTAAATACAAAAAGATTTTGTGAAAAGCAATCGTAACCATCATCTAACTACAATTAACAAAGAAGAGATGGATAAACTACACCCATAGAATATTTTCAGGCGACGTTAAAAAAATAATAAGTTACCTTAGGTAGGTATTTATTACATGTTATCCAACGCTTACAATTTATAGCGGAAATGATGCTGCCACATGTAATAAAATACCTGACCCTGTTGGGACACTTCACACCTCTTATTACAAAGAGAAAGTTATTACAGTTTACACGAGCCGACTGGTATCGGTGTCTAGTAAATAATTCCAATACAATCCAATGGCGGCTGTTTTAATATACAACGAATAACGACGGATTCCGTGGATTGTGGGGGCGACGTTGTCCTGGTTTCAGACATTTGGCTCTTGTTAATACATCGCTATCTTGAAGGTTTACACCGGGACGTTAATATTTGAATTGTTTTTATGTAGAGAGTTTGCAATCGATCAGGCGTCATACCTGATTTTAAGTGATCACCGCCGCCCATGGATGTCTAGAACACCATAGAAGTTGTATGTGCGTTACCAACCATTAAAAAAGTGGGCCCCCGTTACCTCACTAACAAGAAGAAACGCGAATTTTTTAATACTTCCACTTCACACCGGTCGTATGTGAGGCCGTGGTAGGTACTACCCGGATGAGCCTGCCCATTCGTGCAACAGCCTTAACTGCCGCGTGGTACTACGATACCAGACAATGTGTTGTAAAGATGAGAGATGAAAAGTTCCATTCCGCCGCCTTATTGAATAAATCTAAAAGGGAACAGTTTCTCGCAATCATCAATGAGAGGTAACGTAACGTAAGAGGTCCTGCAACATGTCTCTGCACATCACCGGAGATCCGTCTCATGTAAATGCATTTATACTTTGGCGTTTCGTTCGGTGAGAATAATCTAGACAGCCGTACATTCCTTGTGCTGCGTATTCGCGTCTGTTCGCACTCAACATCGGGTGAGTCGCTTGCTAAGTTGTCCTTAAAAAAATGTGTGATAAAAAAAATTACGTAAAATTGATTGAAACAAACACTAACGAATATCAATCCAGACCTGTCCATTTCGTTTTTGACCCCGAAACGAGACACAGAAATGGACCGCCGAAAGCCGATAGTGAAATTCGTGTATTCGACAAGTGAGCATATGCCATATTTATTACGCCCACCCCTCCCCCCGCTATTGGCGATCCAATAAAGGATTTTCCGTATCGATCGCGCTGCTACACTGATTAATATCGGTCTGGGTCCTTCAGCCGGGCGCACGAATATAGTTCTGTTGGGAGCGATTTTGATGCCATCAAATTGGAACGGGTTGTTGTGCCCGAGTTTGGTAACGGTCGAGCGTCACGCGCTCGACGACTTTTCGGGTGTTGCCGATTGATTTTCTAAATTACAGGCTCTTTGATTTTAACCAGGAATAAGAACCTACTCAAGGGCAAGACTCTTATTTAATCATACCGCATAACGTGTACGCATTTATGAAACGTAAATCAATTTAACTGATGAGTTGATTATGGAATTAATCATGAGATTAAGGAAGAGGTCTTATATCAATCTCATTGTTTCTATAATCTATATCTCAAAAAATTTATAACTCATTTTTTATGTATTTTAGACTGGATATTCAAAATCGACCCCATATGTTACGCCATAAAATTTGTATGTTTTTTTATAATAAAAGCTTTAAGTATGTAACCATGACGTGTAAAATAACATAACAATTATGATTCCTTTCGAGATTAGAGACAGTAATAGGTCATTACAAAATATTACATTCATTATCACGTTAGCCACCTGGCCCCTACTTTTGGTCGGAAATTCCACCCCTGTTACTCACACACTTATTAACCCCCAAACTGTGTGTAATCCCCTAATAAAAAGTGTCATCAGTTCATGAAACACTAAATGCTTTCCGTGTAATTACCCACACATAACGTCGGCTAGCATCGCGCCTAAATATTCAAATTTGCATTCACGCGTAGGGGCGGCGGAAAAAAAAAACCACAAGCCGACCGACAAGCGGGGCTGGGAGAATTAATATCATTAAAATTTATTCGACAACATTAAAGGCTGGTCCTGTGCTGGGGCTGTAGCGCCGTCGCTCTTGCATCGGCCCGCGGAGCTCGACTGGGAACCTTTTCCCCGTATACGTAAACACGCTTTGAACTATCGCAAACATCAAAGATTTGGGGAGGGAAAAAAAAAGCATAGAATAATGTAGGTTTTAAAATCGCATTTAAAATTTGGTTTCAACCGCATACTTCTCACAAAAGCCCGTCAAAAAGTCATCTATTATGCAGTCATATATTATTTATTATCTGCTGCCCGCGACTACGTCTGTGTAGAATAGGCTGAAGGCGTAACATTCAGACAGAAAGACAGATAAAAAATGTATATAAATTATAGCCTAGGTCTTATTCTGATTTATAAGCTATATTATTGTAAAGTTTCATTAAAATCCATTCAGTAGTATTTGCGTGAAAGAGTAATAAACATCCATCCATACACACAAACTTTCGCCTTTATAATATTATTTAAATAAAGTAAGGATATTCAATAAACAACTTAAGTGATTATATTAAACAAATAATTTTGCAAAATAAAAGAATACTATTATCATTAGGTTAGGAACTCTTATTTAGACCACTCTCTTATGTAAGACATTGCTTTTAACAAAAATTCTCTTTTGTCGGTAAACCGGAAGTACCCTATAGAGTATAGAGTTTGGATCGAAAACCTACATGGTCTCGAAATATACCATTTTTTTTGTCTTAAGCACAAATAAAAGAAAAATTCCGTAAAATACAAAAGCTGAAAATCAAGGGTAGGTACTTACGAGTTATCGCGAAAATCTTAATTTTTTATTTTTTATCGCGTTGACTCGGGACCTTGATTTTTATGCACCTAATAGGGACTTTTTTGTGACAAATTGCCAAGCGAGCAGGCGGTTCACCTGATCTTAAGTGAATACCGCCGCCCATGGACATCTGCTACTACTATACTACTTACTACTATACTTCCAATTTAAGCCGGTCTTCTGTGAGGTCTTGGTATTTACCCGGACGAGCCTGCCCATTCCAGCAACAGCCGAGGCTGATGCGTGGCCACAGTGAACTATATTATAATTTACAGTATAATCTATAATATAATTTCACCTTGATAGATTCAACCATTCGTGCAACAGCGAACACATAGAAAATGGAGCTTATAAATTCTAATGGTAAAATTCTACAAACATCTCTTCTTTTGACATGTAATCCCGCACTGTGGCATTAATCTTATACGTCATATTATGCCAGTTTTAAGACGGCATGAAGGTCGTCGTACATACCATCTCTAACAGCTCAATTTCATCAAACGCGATAGAGGGTGAATATTGGCATATCTTCTACAGAAAGAAATTCATAAACGAATGAGCATGGAAAGATGAAGTGTATTTCGTGACATGGGTGTGTAATCCTTAACATTTTATAAACATTTATTTGTGGGGTTTAAGTTTTATTCGTCATTAACTATATCAGTTCGTCGCTGTAGGTACAGGATTTCCATTACAGTAAAAAAAAATCACATGGGCTATTACCAAGAACGACTGTGATGCAGATAAATGAGCAATGCAAAACACCATGTCACTATGTATGATTACAATAACGTATGACTAATTTTGGTTACGATAGAAGTATAACACTACACCATTATTGTCCTGTGAATTTTATTCACAAAAGAGTGAAAATAACTTGGAAAGTAAATATATTTTTTTCGAGTAGTGTGATTCCGATATCGCACGAGGGAAAGAATTCAAATCCCGCATAAGAACTCTGGCGAACTTTTAATCCGCGCCAACGTCGAAAGCAACTTTTATTCATAGCGGAACCGGGTAAAATGGAACGAACATTTACGAAAATAAACTGTCTACGATAGACGCTCTTACCCCATCTATAAATAACATAAGATCGTAAAAGGGAAATACACTCAATTGTATGAACGTTTTAGAACCAAATTATTACAGAATAAAAATTATGTATGTATCATTATTATATCAGGCAAGTAACAGTATGATTTCAGATTTTGGCGGCGCTAAGTAGGAAATATTGCATTCGTTCTTATGCAAATATAAGCCCAACGCTATAGTCAGCAAATCGCGAAAAGGCAAACAAGAAACGCACCGACCCGTAATATAGATCATATATGTATAAACCAGATTATATAATAAATTATGCATAAACCAAAAACCAACAAAGTTCCTTATAACTGTATAATACACGAGAGGTTGTATATCTCTGCGAGTGGTCTGGCGTGCGAAATCAGCTTCGCATCCATTACGATGTTTCCACGACTGCCGTTGGCGGTCCATGAGATGCGAGGACGTCGTACACAAAGAATATTGTTATTCCTAGAAGCAATTTCCGTACTGCTAACACGATACGTGGTTATACATTGCGGATATTGGTCGTTGCTGATTGCATTTTGTTTGTCTGGAGTTCACGCGCCATCGCCCCGCATGGTGTGGGCGCCATATGCTCTTCAGACCGAGACTAAACCGTAATGAAATGAGCATAAAATACAAGCGCCGCCCTAATTTAAAGCCCACCGTATGAACAAAACATACATATTGAAAACTCCATAAATTGTAAACTTAATGAAGCATGAATTAAAAGCTTTTTCAAGATTTTAATTCATGCGGTGCTCGGAACCGTTTCGATGTTAGGTCATTAATATATTTCCGGGATCGCAGAAGATTGCCCCTACATGTTCCCGTGACCCCGGCCGATGCGACATAGACAGGGAGAACGTGGGTTTTTAGTGGGTACTCATTTCCGGGACTCCCACATACCCCTGCCACTTCCCCGATATATTAACAGGGTATCCATAAAGGATTTATCCCACGGAAAAAAGGTCATTTATTCATTTGCTACTTCATTTCATGTACTTTGAACGGGCAGAGTGGAAAATTTATACATACAGGCGTGACTGTACATAAAATTAAACCATGTTTAAAACAATGTATGCCGATTGAATTATATTTTCGCTTCCATTTCCCCAACAAAGGTTTTATAGTGGCCCTTGGAATCAACTTCAGGAGACGTGCAAATCTTGTCGGAGCTGTGCACATTTTAGACGTTTCTACGAGGTCGATCGCGCGCCGGTGTCACGTGGTTGGTAACATTGTGCCCGTGCGTGCGTTCGGTGCACGTCGACGCCCTGTGCCCAGCGGCCCAATTCGACCCGTGACGTAGGCGACGACGCCGCATTCTGGGTCAATTGGCAAACAGCTGACGACACCGCAATAAGCCGGCCCTATGAAGCAACCGTGAGCGCAGTCTCGATTGACGCTCGGCGGGGCTTGCAGCTAGCCGTGCACCGTTCAGGGTCGCCAGGTACCCCCTTGTGATATGTGGCACATATGTATGCACGTATTTTCAATTATAGGCTATTGAGCAAGAAAAAAGACGCTAAAGCTTGTAGGGTAAAGATCTGTATGAGGAGACAAATTTTAAAGTATTTCATATGTAAAACGGAAAACTTATAATGTTCGTAAAATAAAGAATTACAATGGTTAAAATTCAATTAAAAATGTTTCGGTTTTAGAAAAAATAATTTAGTATCATATTAATGAGAATAAGTCAAAGGGTGTCAATCGAGGTGGCGGTTCAACCGATGTTAAGTTATTATGCCGCCGCCTGAGGGTTGCAGATGTGTTGCTAACCTTTAAAAAATTGGCTCCGTTTCCCTCACCCACCGAACGAAACTATAATACTTTAAATTTACGCCAGTCTTCTGTGAGAAGTAGGCACTCACTTTAGGGCCCACGCAACAGCAGAAGGTGCTGCGTGGCTTTCCTATTTTATACTTACTATGACTATATTTGTGAATATATTTATGACTAGAAAATAATAATGGACTTAAAAATCAACCATCATTTGCTTTCTTAATAATAAGACGGCTGAACTCACGTAAAACCGGTGTATGTACCGAATAGTTTGGGACTCATCGGAGTCTTTCATCAGGGTGAGTGAGATTAGTTCGACGGCTCGCGGTTGCGCCCAGTCTCGCACTGCGATGAGGACCTCCGATGAGTTCGAAACTAGTCGGTACATACACCGGTTTTACGTGAGTTCAGCCGTCTTGTTATTACGTTAATATTGTCTCAAGAAAGTTTTAATAATTTTATCATTTGCTTTCTCATTTTCATTTGGACACAATCTGAGTGTAAGCCAATATAAAGGTCAAACAGGGGACTACAGAATCCAACTGAAGCGCGTCCAAACGATGGAGAGCGTGTCGATGCCGACGTCGAAGTCGACGTGCCGACAGATGCGACGCGCCGGGCGAAACGTCGCATCGGGCACGAACCGAGCGGCCAGGCCACTCTATACCGCCGCCGCGCCCCGTAACGATCACGACGGTCGGCGCTACAATTAGCCACTCCGCGCGAATGTCACGCAATCGAATGAGAGCGAAGGCGTGAAGGCGCCCCGACACTCGAGTGGAGCGCGGACAAAGTGCGAAAAATCAGAATACCTACGTTCCGCCGCACGTGAACATTTTAAGTTTAATAGAGAAAGAAAATTGTATAATGTCGAGAATATTTCAAGTGCAGTAATTATATTGGGAAAAAACGAGGCATTCAAATGATTAATCGTTTATCTTATTCCGTTCTATTTATTAAAACCGTCCCCAGCATTATGAAACAATTCATGAAAAATTAACATTGTGCACACATTTGCATGAGTAAGTCACCTCTACTTAACAATAGCCAAGAATCGCTGACAGAGTGACTGACAAAAAACCTGCAGTTTTAACACTCTTGAAATTAGTTCAGAGCTAGTAGTGGCATACTCCTAAATGGTTCTGGACATCTCTGATATTTTAAATATCCACGGGCGGCGATTCTCATGTAGTTTGGGTTGGGTTTAACCACTTGGTAAGCAAGTGAACCTAAAACCTTTAAAACGTAAAATCCGACACCACAACAAAAAGTAGATAATAGTGAACAAAAACTGCACGGAACACCAAAAGAAATTAAACAAATTAGAATATTTCCCAATACATCATGTGAGTTTGATGGTTGTAAACGATTAAAGTGTAGTAAAACGTATGCACTCAGCTGAAAATCTCAATATTGAACCAGGAGCGAAATATAAAGAGATATATTATTATCTCCTTTAGTGCGGCTTCCTACTCGAAGCCGCATGTCTTTAGAGCTGCCGTAAATGTATTTCGAATGAATATAGGTCACGAAAAGAATAAAGTTGGAAGAGTACGGCAGTTGGGTTTGTGGGATAATGCGATTCGCCCGCAAGCGCCGATAGCGTTAGAAACTAAACTTAGAAGTGTATGGATGCATTGTGATAATTTTATTCTTAAATATGAATGAAGAATATTCATAAATTGTACTTACGGCGAATTATAGATCGAAGAAGTAGATACATTAATATGAAATTATAATATTAAGTAACCCCTAACACAAAAAATAAAACAAATTCTAACGACCTATAACACCCCTCTTATTACGTCGGGCTTTCAAATTATCAGTACTTAGATATTTATAAGCAACAAAATAAATCTTCAAATAATTATCAGCCCCATTGTCGAAGTTTGCGTAATACTGCTTTCGTACGTTCGCCACAGAGCCGAAAACAAAACATATTTTTTGTCAAGTCGCGTAAACTCGGAGAGATATACGACCGTATACCCGAAAACTTTACGATCTCGCACCGATGACGCATCAGCGATACAAAGGTACGCGCGTATGTCGTTACGGTTGCGAAATAAACGAACAAAACGGAATAACTGTAGACTACAGAGTGCTTCGTCCGCAATACTTGGCTGCGCAGAAGTTGAAAAGTAGAGTAGTAAAGTAATAGCCTATTTGCGTCCCACAGCTGGGCAAAGGTCGCCTTTGTACGCTGGGTATTAGGGAATAGTCCACCACGCGATCTTACTGCGTATTTTTGGACTTCACATATCTTCGCAACATTTTTTTTGTTGTTATTTCGAAAATATGCAGGTTTACTCACGATGTTTTCCTTCACCGCTGAGCTCGTGATAAGTTAGCACTTAAAATTAATAATTTAATCACTGCCGGCAACGGGGATCGAACACGGGTTGCTCGAGTGAATTGAATCAATGTCGCGCGTACGGACACTGAGTTATCAAGATATGTGGAACTGCCTGGTTGCGGTCAACAGTTCGGCTAGTTCCGATTAACTAGCTATACGCTCCGTGTGGTGTGAATCGTACATTGCGAGTCTATTGACGCGCGAAGGCGCCGCGAGTTATTTTAGACGGCCGCCATCCCGTTTCGGGACATTATAGCGCATTGAGCTGGTTATAAATAACCACTGAGCAGACGAGTGTAAATAAACTCGATAGATTTTCGTTGACAGGCGTTTAGAACTTTGTAAGATTTGAATAATTGATGTTTACCTGTTATTTCTAATGCTAAGTAGATAACTAGAAGTGGAAAACTCTAATTCACTTCTCTGTCTCAAATATGGTGTCGATGACTTCGAAACAGAGTTAGATCAGAAGAAAGGTAATTCGGTGACAACGATGAACGATACAATGAGCGCCATTTTTGCTTTTCACTGGCATTTTGTCTTTTGCAGATATTATGCCAATATTGTTATGTAAAATAATTGAAAAATAAAAAATTGAACTATATGAAAAAATACCGTAATGACTTCAGAGAAATGGTAGTTCCAATATGTAGAAATTAGCGACTCAAAGCCAACGTATGGCGTCGCGCATCGTGGGTTCGATTCCATGATTGATGATAAAACATGATTGACATGCTGTTGCATGATGATGATGATCCAACGATCGACGAAAATGCGATTCCTCGCATCGTGAACCCAATAGGAGACATTAAAGAGCTCTGCAATAACGAATCGCAAAACTAGCGTGCGCATAGAACCCCCAAAAGCCCACAGCCACAATTGCGGCCTGCCCAAAGTTGCCCACATGTTAGTCGGCTAAGCTGTTACACGTAGCCGCGGGCGATTGTCCTTCAAGGGAAGCGATTTAACCATTACATGGGATGGGAAGCGACGGATCTATTGTGACGGGTCCGTGGCGAACAGGAAATCTTGAATTATCCTATTGCAAGCGTATTACGTTCGTATCTTTTCAATACTGTATCGCATGTCTAACTTCCGTGTGCGGAAAATGTAACCTTGCGGGAAGTTATAATTTCTTCTTATTGTTGATGTTATAAATGTTTTTTTTTTTTATACAAACGTTCACTTTAAGAAATAAGCCACTTTAGAATTTTTACAAAAAGGACGAAAAACTCCTTCTCGCCGCTGCTGGAATCGAACCCACGGCCAAACGGCTGATTGCGACATCGATGAAATTCAGATCTTTGGCGCATCTTTTATTATATCCTTTAAGGCATACAAACAATTTCGAATATCGCTTTACAAGCCCCGTGTCGTAGGGGGTTTCATATGCATATATACTTATATCATCTAGGTGGGTTTGCCACAACGTGTCAAGCATGTTAGAGTGGTGTTAGCTATGTTTGTACTTTACGGTGATAAGGCCACGCAGCAGCCTCGGCTGTTGCACGAATGGGCAGGTTCGTTCGGGTAAGTACCACGACATCACAGAAGACGGAAGTATAATACTTTCGCGTTTCGTCTGGTGAGTGAGGTGGCCGAAGCCCAATTTTCAAAAGGTTGTCAACGCATCTGCAACCCTCGGGTGTACAGATGTCTATAGGCGGCGGTATTCACTTAACATCATGTGAACCGTCTGCTCGTTTGGCAACTTTTCACATAAAAAAAATGTTTTTTTTATGATAGAGAGTCTGCCTGACGCCAACTTTCCTTGAGAACATGTACCCAGACAAGGAACAATTGCCTTTGGTTATACTTCCCGATCCGAACCCACGCCTCCTACGATATAACTCTTAGCAATAGCGCTACCGAGGCAGTATATACATATATATAAAAGTAATTTTTAACTAGTTATACTATTGGACAAAAATTGACCGAAATAGGCGTGACATATTCAGCGCATAAACTTCCTTGAATACAATTTTAAACTTAAATGGTCGACGTTCGGATACTTTCATCAGGGTCTACGAAGTATTCGAAATGAACGGATTCGTTTGAATATCTTCTTTGACTACGTCTAACCCGAACACGATATGACGAGAAGTGTCTCCCAATAATATGTAGTATTCGCGTAATCATAAGAGATTATTCAATCGAATCCGTTTGACCATTGCGGGGATGTTCACAATAAATATTATTGGGGTTCACGTCAACGGCGCGTCTTACAACGATCGCACGCAGCCGGCGAATGACTTGTTAGTTGGGAGCAAAACCGAGTCGTTCGCAGGCCAACAAGGAATGCAGGGTCGAGAGTGCGGCGGCGGTCGCGCGGCCGACTTTATTGCTCGCTTTATTGGAAAACCACTCTTCCGCGTTCCACAACGCCCGTATCTCCCCCGTTACGTGTCCAGCGTAAAATGGGCACCGTACCGAATCTACACCAGTCGGGGTACTGATGTATTTGCTACACTCTACTGTCGTTAGTCATTTTTAATTGCGCACCCTTTAGTGGGGTCAGTGGTTTATTCAGCGCAAAGGTAGCGGACGACGCGTGTAATTTATGATTAGTTTCGTGACCATTGAAAGCGTATTAACCGTCAAAGAAAATAGGTTCCACTGAAGGCAAGTTTTTCTTTGAAATTTTCGAAAATTAAAGGCAAGCTGAAAAGAACAAGAAAAAACTTTTGTAACTGTCGTCATGAGCAACGCGTAATTTTCGGCCGAAAACGTGGAGATCAAATCGATTAGTGTCCGGCGACCGGCCCCCCTCGGGCTCTTTTTCTTGTTTTCTTTTTTATCGTATTAAATTTTAAAATTACGTGTTAGGACGCGATAAAAATAAGATTATGGCACAAACGGCTCCAAAGTATACACACCCGATGAATAAATTAATAATAGAGGTCGAAGGAGGGGAGGCTTGCGGCATACCAATTTATCCCGGGGATGCTAATAATGTGACTCGCATTTTTCACCGGCGCGCCGCGTGACAAAGATCCCTCTACATTGACGGCTTGTAAGTAACTCGAGAATGAATGGCCTTCGTGTATTACACAAACATTAAACACTTAAGTCGGGATAAGGAGGAGAATTCTTTTTCACGGCCTCATGAATTATGTATGGCGGCAGATCAAACTTTTTTTTTGACGCCAATAATACTCCTTTAAGATAAACAGGTGTATAATGTGACGGGGTGGATGGTCGCGAGCAAATTTCACTATACCGAAGTACTAGGAGAGCATAATCGTTGTCAATATACCGAAAACATACGCGCGAGTAGATTGAGCAGTAGCAATAATTCAATTTTTAAAGTCGCGGTCAAACTATCCAACGATGCGTAGCTGAGGGGTTGGAGAGCTCTTTATAATCCAATAAGAGGGAGCGCATCGGGTGCAAAGGGACACGGTCCCGGATTCCTATTCCATTAGGTGTCGCCGCGGAGCGCAATTTGCAAATGAAAACAACTTATTGAAATTCTTCCCCCCGCCACCCCACCACCCCTGGAATCGGACGCACCGCTCTCTCCCACACCAGATGCCGCGGCTGGCGCGAATATCGCTTTAATAATCTAAAGCGCTCACCCCGGGCCTAAATTATCTGTCCCAAAACCGTGATCGTAACACGACGAAGTGATTAATTGCGATTTAACTAATAACCGTATCTGAGGTGTGTCACTACAATTTAGTACAAATCAAATGGGACGACTGATATATTGTAGGTATTTCTTTTTTATGTCAAAAGTTGGCAAGCAAGCAGGCGGTTCATCTGATGTTAAATGTTACCGCCGCCCATGGATATGGGCAAAACATGTCGGCTTCCACTTTATGCAGTGCAACAGCAAAGATGCTGCGTGGGCCTACCACAGTACGTGTATTGAGGATCATAAATAAATCAGAACGTTCATAGATGGTTTTACTCAGCCATAGCACGTTAAAGGAGACAACGTTGTTCTCTACTTGTTTTCCAATTCTTCATGAATGAAATGTCACATTGCCAATGTTACGATTTATTAACACTATGCGCCTTTCTAGAAAGAACATTTGAGTTGATCGATGTCATTTTATCCTAACACTAGCTGACCCGGCAAATTATATCTAGGGAATTTGTGGAACGGACGCATAAAATGTTTGACAAGTAGGAAAAGTATGTATGGGATAATAAAATTGTTGCTATTTCGATTTTCCATTCATTTTTTTCGACTGCCACAAATATTTCGTTCTCGATTTTAGCGAGAATAACGAACAGCTTATATATATATATGTATACATACATATATATATATATATATATATACATAAAAAAAGTTAGTTTATCACCAGCACACACCTCTTGCTCTTGTGAAAAGCCTCCAATAAACTTTTTTTTTTCAATAAATATAAATAATAATTTACCTAATGTAAACGTTCCAAATTTTACCACCCACTCCTCACGATCGGAAGTCGGTTAAAGAAGGTTCATAAAAAGGCCGAAACGATCCACCGCACCAATCGTGTACTGTGGCAGTATTTTGCATAAATTACGAACGGCCGCGGCGGCAATCGGCGGGCGGTTGAAATTCTGAAAAACGATCGTATACGTATAATAAGCCGCCGCGGTCGAATGCAAATAACACTATTATATGCTAATACGACATGCGTAATACCTCCCGTATTCCACCAGCACGTGATCGGAGTTCCGGTTGTTTTTCTAGAAGCGTCCCCGCTTAATTTTTCTCAGATCGCATTACGATAAGAACGTTGGAATCTATCTACATCGAAAAGAAGACATCTCATCGAATTTTCGCTCCTCAGACCACGTCGCGTGACGGAGCAGTCGGAAAACAAATAAATATTCAAGAGATCCGGTTGCTTACAAAACAAACTATCGTGGGAATTCATTCGGCATTGAGAGCGTGGGTGAAGAAGTCGCACAAGGCGCGATCGGCGGAGTGACGCATCCGACGAAATCGAACGAGTATCGAAAGTGAGCGGCTCGTTGGCGGGCGGGCAGAGGAACGATTTCAAGTAGATATATCGCGTCATGTTTTCGTTGATAGAGTATCACTAATAACGCTTCGAATCGTTTTCATTGGCCGGAGTGTTCCCTCGGTCGGGCGGGGGCGTCGGGATACAATTACCCCCTAATATAGCCTCCATAAAGGGGCCCATTATGGCCCGTCACGTTTAGCATCCGACGTCGGCGGTACGCGGAAAAGTGTTGAAATAACCTTCGATACTTAGTCGGCACTCGTAAAACATTAACAATGGCCTCAACGCGAAAATTCAACTGTATAAGGCTCTCCCCCCTTTCCCCCAATCAACGCGCGCGCCTTTTGTTGCGAAATCAAAATAAATCATTCGAATGACGTAAAATCTCTAAAGCAATACGGGCTACGGTCAAATCGCTGCGCAATGAAGCTGCAGCCCACCAAGCTGAAAGCACCTCTGAAAGCCCCGGTGTTGTATCCACGTTTCAAATCCAACTTGAATTTTTTTTATAGAGCGGCTCGTAAAACAAACACGTCGGCGCGACTCCTAAGATGAGCTGAGTACTGACAGTTTTATTCTATGCCGTTAGACGCATAATTTCATTATTACCGTTTCGGGATCACCGTGAAACATATCTGTCGTTTCCATGAATCAAAACTCTGGACGTGATCAGGACGTCTTAAGATATCAAGATATCCTTAAGGTTTTTTTACGTTTGTGCCATAATCAAATACGAGGAAAATATCGAAAATAATTCAGTTGCCTATGAAACCGCGGAGTGCGATTGACTCCGTTAAGCGGATGTGGGTCAGACTAAAAGGAAAAAAAAGCTCTAGACAATGACGTTGCACTTCTCGAATTTATGTCTGAGTATTGGCAAGTATGAAAAAATACTTGCTCTGTTGACCGTGTGAACTGCAAGTTTGTTCTATTAGTGATTTCGCTTTAAATCTGGCTAACCACTTCTAACACCTACTGGTACCATCGACGGTCATTTCCGTACGCAAATGTAACATATGGCTGGGCGGTGAACGGGCGGAAGACATCGCGATGTTCCGCGACAAATGTCAACGAACTCCGCTCAAAATACGAGCGGCGCCTGTGGGACACGTGACTCGTTCTATTATTAAATGTGGGCTGTTCCGTTGTGGCCGATTTAAGGGGTTATTTGCACGTCCCCGGCGATCGGAGCGCCGCGGAGGGCGGATGTAATATCGCCGGAGCGCCTTCGGTGGAATGCGATCCTAGCTTTTTCACTCGAGAGCGGGGAAGCCATAAGAGGACACGACTCGCGCATTTTATCGCGACCCTCTATCGTTCGAACGGTCGACGCGTCTACATTGATGAGAGGGGAGCGCCGCCACAGTATAGCCGATATAAAAAAAGCTTTAGATCAGAAGCGTTTAGATCAGAACTGGGAGTAGTATTATATTTGCAATAAAGTTCTTTATTAACATTTACTAAGTTCTATGATCGCAAATATAGATACATAAAGCTCCTAATTGTGCATCGTTTAGGGGTTTTTCAACTTCCTTCAAAAAAGCAGGATGTTCGAAATTCCGTTGTATGTATGTGTTATGTTTGTAACCAAGGAACTCTACTATCTCTCCATATTAAGTTCTAATTTTGAGATTATACCTTGGTCTCCGAAGTTAAATCAAGGAATTCTTAAAATAAAAAATAAAATGTATAGTCAACAAATTAATAATTAACATCAAATCATGGTATTTTCAGATACATAGTTAAGCAACGGATCCTGCTGTTGTAGAAAAGTCCGTCTCAGCCATTGATGTACCTTAAAACACCACATAAGACTAGCCCGAAGTGTAGACAAAAACTTCCGTTTTCTGCGACAACTTTTCTGTTGCAGGGCCACGCAGCAGTCTTTGCCGCTGCACGAATAGGCAGGCTGGCCCAGGGAAGTATTATAATCTCACAGAAGACCGGCGTGGAGTGCGATACACTTCTGCGTGTCGTCTGGTGAGTGAGCCACACACCGGGGCCCACTTCATTAAACGATGGCAACGAGTCTGCAATCCTACGGATGTTGCAAATGTCATCAGGTGAACCGGCAGCTCGCTTGCCACCTTCGAACCTGGCTCGAATGTCCCTCGTCGGCAGCGATCGCCCGTTTACGATCTACGCTTTGTAACAAAAACACAACACACATAAACACAGTCTAACGGAGACAGAGGTGAGACGTCGCCCCCGACTGGGTGCACTGTTCGCGGCTAAGCTATGCAAACGATCAGCCAGTCGCGTGTGCATAATGTAGGGCCCGCCGGCCTCCCCGCGGCGCCGGCGTCAACGACCGCGAGTCAAGGACGCCTCCCGATGTACCACCGACGCCCTTATGTCCCGTCCTCCACTTTTCCGCTTTGGAAGCGTCCGCTATCTTGTACTAGTCGAATAGTTTGAATTATAATATGGACCCTATCAATTATAAATATTATTATGTGCTTTTGTGGTGGAATTAGTAGGATGTCATTTGTCGAGGAAAACCATTTTAATGATAAAATCTTAACGGGGGTAGACAGAGTTAACGTTTCAAGTTTAAATTTCAGGAAGCTTGTTTGGTCTCGAAAGTAAGAGCTGGCAAACTAAATTCACAAAAAACGGGAAGCAATTCTTCTTGTGAAAACGTATTTTTAATATATGTATCGTATAATTCAAGCTCGAACACAGTCCGAATATTTAAATATAAAAAAGTATAGTGAACGTCGTGATTAATTCGATAGAAATAATTGTTGCATTCAATAGATAAGTTTTACTAGTCATAACTTTTTATTAACAAATAATAAGTTTAACCTTGGTAATAATATCCGATACCATACGATGAAGTCTACAATTTTAAGAGGTATGCAGCCATTTCGGTTCGTTAATTTCAGGCGGCACGATATATAAATACACGGCAGACAGAATTACTCAGGCAACGTCAACATGACAACGCACCGGGTACATCCTGTTCGTCCAAATATCGCGATGAGCCAACTGCGGCACCGTCGGGCGTCGGTGACGAATGCAAGAAACGAGTTTCCCGCATTTGCCTCCGTTTAAAATAAGAAATATGTCGGCGTCTTCCCAGAAACGAATTGGAATCGTGTTTCGAGATAATAAATAAAATTATTTTAAAATAGTCTTATCGACTTCAAGTTTAGGCAGTGTAAAATAATTATTATTAAAAATGTCTGATTTCAATAATAAGGAAATTTATAAGTCACATATAGAAAAATTTCAGCAATACGAAATGAATATTGTGTACGTGTATTTATTTCTTGTATACATAATCCTTAAACTATCTATAACTGGTTAAGACCAGTTATAGATATTTAAATGATTAATAGATAAGGAAATAGAATAGATAAGTTAAATAGAAAAGATATTTAGATGATACGCGAATAAATATCATGCATGTCATTTAACGTAAGTAAGCATATAATAAAACCGTTTTAAAAACTTTAAAGTTAAACGGTTTTATTTTATGTGCACTGAAAACTACAATATTGTATTGTCATCTAAATTAAATATGTGTACCAAATTTCAGATCAATCTGATAACGGGAAGGTGCTTAAATTTCAATTTTTGATTTTGACCCAAATAAATAAATTCCGTACGGGTCGAGCTAAATAAAACCGTTTAATAAAAAGGTGTCGCACTAGAACAGATCAGATATTTCCTGGCGCCCCGAGCCTTGGGTACGATTCCCTCACGTACATGTCGTGATTGAAGAGTGGCCGGTAAATCACACTAAATGTGAAAGTTAAAATATATTTTCACTTCCGGACTTCAGCGAGGTCGTGTTTCTTCCCCGTGCAACAGCAGCAGTCGCTGCTTGTCTATACAGATAATTTTTCTTTTAAATTTTGTACCACGGTGTTCGTAAAACGCTCTCACAACTAAGGATAATGTCATCCAACATTTGAAGTAATATTAAAAAAAAAACTGCAACAATTTCATTGGTGAGAAACGATCTCTGACGATTCGCGACAAATTACAAACAAGCAAACACGATAGATTCATTCAGGTGCATTTTGAACTGCCAACAGATCGGGAGTCAGTCGCCTCGATAAACATTTCTTTCGCTTGTAATGCTAATTGCGCCAATAAGGGAAAGTAATACGGCGTACCTACCAAGTCACGCGAACACACACTCCGCGTGACAAGTGAGGGCAATTTGGGTCGGAGCAAAGTGTTTACCCAATATAAGGCGGTCCACTCGAGCGGCGGGCACTCGGCGGCGCCTCTAAGGACGAATATTATTCGGCTATGAGATGTTTCGTCGACACGCCTTCACTGTCTTGTGGCTAAGCTTAAGACCATCATACCTTTCCGCTTACCGGGTACTTGATTCAACGGTTTAATTCGATTATACAAAAATCCAAAACGTTCCACAAAAAATGGTCGATTTTAAGTTAGTAATTGCTTTCATTGTATTATTTTTTCACGTTCAGATATTGGTGGTGCTTTGTTAACACTCCAGTAGTCGCGCGTTCTACAGTTGTAAAACGTGCATGCATTTTTTTAAGATTTGAGCGTAATTTGAATATTGTACACGCACACACAGTATTCCTACAAAATTATCCAATGAACATAATCAGTGTCCTAGCGGCGACTGATACAGCTGCATTTCTGAATTATTTCGCGCGAAAACTTAATTTCTACGATAGTAGAGCGCGCGACCACTCGCGACATATTTCTTACGAGCTGCCGTCGATGTTTGATGGTTGCAAGTAAATTTGTAATGTTTTCTTGACATTGAAATTAGATGTATTATTAAGTTTAACATTATTAGTATCTAAAGTGATTGTTTTTTTTTTACATAATAATGGACTTACCGAGCATTGAAGGAAGAATTTGCAGATGGTTGAAAGAGGAATGTTCTGATGACGATGACATGGAAGAAAGCGATTTTGAAGCTGAAGACTTTTTGTTAGAATTGCTAAACCATATTGATACCTAACAGGAAAGAAGATTCAAAAAGTCCAACTCAGAAAATAACGCACACGCTACTATGATTAGCACCCCGGAATCAAATTGGAATCAAATTCAGAATCTGACGATAATTTTCCGCTAAGTTCATTGAGAAATCAGTGCTATACATCCAAAAATGATACAATGTGAAGAAAATATCTATATCCCAGCATAATTACTCATTCACAGAAGAATTAGAAGTTTAAGGTCAAAATATGGCCAATTTATTTTAAGTTTTTCAAGAAGGCTGTTTTATAGATCCTACTTTTTTTTAAGGAGAATTTTTGATTTAGTTTAATAATAAAGCTTTTATGAGTGTTAGACAGATGAATTTTTTAATACATCAATATTTCGTTTGAAAACCCTTAGATTAAAAGTGTTCTACATACGTAGAACGCGCGCGCACTAACGTCCTAAGTAAAGGCGCGCCTACTGGAGTATTAAATATGAGCCCTATGATATACCAAAGTAAAGAATAGAAGGAAACTACCCTATTATTCGTGAATTGTAGAAACATTATAACGTTAAAATTATAATGTACCATAGAAGGTACTTGAATAATATAATATGGAAGACAAACTGGAATTAAAATGCGTAAAGTAACAATTTTAAAACGTACAAAACACTTGCCCCTCTACCATAAATCAAAGATAATATCGGTGAGATCGTAGAAGTTTCGCGAACGAGATTGTTTCCGTATTATGATAATTAGCCGAATGATTTATGTGTAAAATGGTAATGTTACTGATATTACGCTGCCAAAAGTCCCAAGTCACGTATTTAACGCTCATAAATAGAGGCGGCCGTTTAGCTTAGGCAGTATGTGAGATCTTATCACGCGTCCATGTAAATATGTATATTTTTTTTTGGCCAAGTAATTTTTATGGGAGAACAATCGCTATTTTTATAGATTAACTCCTATTGCGCTTGCTCCAAGGGATTACGAACGAGTTCAAGAGCCTAGTCAAAGCGAGCGAGGGGTTGCCTAATGCTGGTCCTTTAACTGCCCTCGATTCCACTAACAGAGTTCAAGATTACCGGTCACGCCTAACGAATACAGCGAAGAAATCCGAAAGGGAAATCAAACACCTTTTAATGGACGGCGCACCTCCAAACACTTAGGAATGCATAGTGATAAAAGCTCGTGAGCGAAGCTTTATTCTATACCTCATAATAAATTATGAAGAAAGCAAGTCAAAAAGATTTCTTTAAAATGAAATTGATCAGTAGGAGTGGCATAAAATCTTATACGTCGTCTAACCTGATGTAGTTTGAGATAGACGCTTTTAATATGACTTAGAACTAAAAAGACCCTTTATACATAGAGTAAATCCAACGTTTATTCAAAACACTGCTAGGATATTAAATTTGTTTATTTATTCAGATTTATTAAGACATCACTGGTTGGTTTGAAAAGGCAAAGACGTAGAGGTAGAATGAAAGGAGCTTCATTTTATTTAAAAGAAAAAAAAACATTTTCTAGAAAGTAAATAGTCGACTAAGGAAAATAATACAGTGTGTTTTTAGTCTTATTTTTAAGCTTTCTAAAGTAAAATATGCCATGATATGGAGAAGCCACTGTGTGCGTTGCGCCCGAGGGTCGATAGTCTACGGGACTGTTCATATATGGGGATTGTGACATAGCTTTATAAATGTCATTTTTTATTTTGTCATTTCTGCATTGAACTTATCGACATCCACGAGTTTGATGTAAAATCATATGTAGAGAAACTACAATTATAATTTTAATTATAATTGTAGTTTCTTCATTATAATTTTTGTCTATTGTAATCTGTGCGGTATATTTAAGGTACACCCATTTAATTTTAACCTGCTTTTGATACAGAGTTTTATCCGTTCTGTTATTCTTTCATTTACTACATTTACCAACCGTTGACTCACTGCGGGAACATCTATAGGACTAAAGGAACTAAGCTAGCTGTTAGGCTTCTTTAGTGGCAAGTACCTTATCTTAAGGGCCGATATCTCTCGGTAATAATACGGGGAAATAACTTCATCAATGGCTTCGGAGCCAGCATACGAGAAAGATTGTGTGATTGTATCAAAAGATAAGACATACCAATGCATAAAATAAAAAAATAACCTGACACTATATGTGGAACCGTGATATTGTGACCTGAACATACGTATAAATATTCCAAAGAAAAGTATGTATATCGTATATATATTAAATATGTTTATCGTTTACCAATTACGCAAAGTATCAGCTTTACTTGCATTGGGAATATTTGGATTTGCTGTAACATAGTAAAGGTAGATCAGTTCTATAACAACGCTCCGGTGGAGATTTCCTTCTAGCCGAATATAAAAGAAATATTATTCGACGCGAAGTGTAAATAAAACATAAGCGGAAAGTGTTGTTGTTGCTTCTGGTGACGCTTTAAACTCGACGCGACATTCTGATTGCGTCCATTTGACGTGAACGCGTATGGCGATTTCCAATAAAGTAGAGACAGTATGAGGAAAATTGAAGTCAGCCTGTGTTGAGAGTAACCTAACTCTTCACGTAAATTGGTTTTGTGCATGGCCGTACTAAAGTCAATGATCCTGTTTTTAAACAATACTAAATTATCATTAGTATTCTTTAAATACAGAATATTATACTATATATAAGTATAGTTTAACTTGGTGGTGGTAAGGCCACGCCACACTGTTCGCTGTTGCACGAATAGGCAGGTCCGTCCGGGTTAGTACCACGACCTAACAGAAGACCGGCATAAAGTAGAAGTGTTGCACTTCTGCGTTTCGTCTGGTGAGTGAGGTAGCCAAGGCCCACATTATTAGGAGGTGGCTACGCATCTTCAATCCTACGGGTTTTGCAAATGTCCATGGGCAGACGGTTATCATTTAGCCTCAGGTGAATTTGCTCATTTGCACCTTTCTCGTATAAAAAAATATTATTGTAGTGATTTATGTGTTTTATTTTGACACTGTTTTATTGTGACAGAATCACGCAGCAACTACTTCTTTGAATTTGTACGATCCTGCGAGTACCACGAGTCGGCGTAAAGTGAAAGTGAACATTCATGTCAGTTTTCAGTAATAGAGGTA